ATTGCAATCTGGACCTTATGGTATGCAATTATAAAGCTGATTAATGCAAATCAAATTAATATAAAAGTGACACAGTCTCTGCGAACCCTACTACTGATGCTTCCCTTCGCAGCAGGTCAAGACTCAAACAGATGCATCAGCCAAGGTTTGCCTGGTTATAGCTTTGTTGTTTAATTTAAAGCTGTAAACAACCTACACAAGCATGACATAAAAGTTAGACATTCTGAAATATATGAATGAAAACCACTTAAGTGTTGCTTTAACAGATGTAATGTTTGCATGGCAGGAGCATACAATTGTAGGCTAGTGCTAATACTCATATACTTCGAATATTTGAATGAATAACAATATATTAAAATTCACTTGGATTTAATATTAACTTATAGGAAATTTAGAAGTATTCGATGCGAACAAATAGATGTACATTAGTCCACATGTAACCTCCTGTAAAGATAATTTCACTGCAGTGGAGAGGTGCTATCCCATGAATACATTTTTACAACAAAAAATATACACTGCCACGAAACCCAACTTCAAGGTCTATGAACACACTACCCTCACATCAATTCTTTCTCATTTTTTTTGCTTAAAAACTTGTTATAGAGGCTTATATGCTCTAAGTGTCATAAATTTTAAAATGTAGCATATTTTACAGGTTATCACTAGCATTTTACCTAAAGACAAAGCCTGCTACTAATCAAAGTTGCTTCAACTTTGAATAAAGAAAAAATAATTTTGCTCATAACCGTTTCAATTTGTAAAAAACGATTTGCATGTTTGTTCGGTCATGACAAATATGTTCAATTTTCTTTATAATATATATTGCTACGGTATGAGCCGGGCTGTAGTATGTGCCGGGTAGGTAGCAGAGGAAGACGACGTTGTCTGGTGCGGCCTGAGGACTCCATCTTTACCGCGACTGCCGAACTTCATCCTCACCCTGTAAATAAATCCACATATCCTTTAATTCAACCGTAACAGTTTTGTAGTGGAGGTGCTGGGTAATCAACCAAGCAACACGACGCTTCAAGCGCCTGATCTACGACGAAGCCGCCGCCTTGCTGGACTTCCCCCGTTACCACTGGCAGCTGAGATGTCTCACGGCGAAGAAGGAAACCGGATCCCCGCAGCTGCAGACCTTCTACCAGTCCCAGCAGCACCACTAGTGCCAGGTTCGCGTGCGGCTGGTCCCTGGTTGCGTCAGGATCTGATAGTGCCTCGCACATTCGGTGGCAAATCTGGCGAGGACGTGGACGCCTGGCTCACACACTACAAACGGGTGAGCAAATACTACCAGTGGGACGCGGTGACCCAGCTGACCAATGTAGTATTTTTCTTAACGGACACAGCACTCGTGTGGTACGAGAACCATGAAGATGCCCTCACGTCATGAGATCGCTTCGTTTCCGAAATAAGAGCGTGCTTTGGAGACTCCGTAGCTAAGAGAAAGCAGGCCGAACAAACGTTACTGCAGAGAGCTCAGATCGCAGGAGAGACGTGCACGACCTATGTCGAGGCAATCTTGAAGCTCCGCAAGATTGTCAGCCCTTCTATGTCAGAGGAAGACAAAGTTGGCCACCTGTTGAAGGGCATTGCCGAGGATGTGTATCAGTTCCTCATCAGCAAAGACAGCCTTGCTACGGTAACCGACGTCATAAACCACTGTCGCACATTCGAGACCCTGAAGATGTGACGTATCACCCCCAAGTTCGGTCGCCTACCGAATGTAACCACCGTGACAAGTGTTGACAAATGCACGCCGCTTGATCTCGCGTCGACAATACGCCAGATCGTTCGAGAAGAGCTCACTCGACACGCTCGCCCGACGCCATACGAAGCTACACCCGCACCGCCTCCCTCTCGCCCTCCCGTGTCAATTGCGGCAGCAGGCATCGATGACTGCAACTACAGGCCATCCTCACCACCGAGGTCACAGTGCAATAACTACCCGCTGCCGAGGTACGAAGACCGCTTCAGTTACCCCCATCAGCCAGCCAACACCTATTAGGACCCGAAGGAAGATGTACCTGTACCACCACCACGTCAGCGCAATGCCTTCCAGGAGTACAATGCATACCGCCAAGCCATTGTGTGCTACCGTTACGATATTGCTGGGCATATAGCTCGGTTCTGTCGTCAACAGAGAGGGCTGACATCCCGATATCAGAGCTTCCGCCAGCGGGCACTGGTCACAACAACTGTCATTGGCCCGCCTATTTCAGGAGTACCTCACGGCGGGGAAATCACCGTGGCAGTTCTCCCGCTTCTGACCGTAGTTTGACGCCTCCATCTGGCCAACTGCATCGTTCCCCTTCGCCGGGACGACGCCTGTCATCACCGCCGCCGCCGGGAAACTAGCCAGCGCGACCGATGGTGGTGAGGTCGCACAACAGGATTTGCCTCAGATGCCTCCGCCAGTTATAATGTCGAAGAACAAGATACGTGTGGAAATAGATGGCTTTTGTACAAGTGCTTTGGTGGACACTGGTGCTACGATATCAGTTATGAGTCTTTCTTTCAAAAGTCGCATTGGCCGCAAAGTTATGTTTTATTGGGGCGAATCAACAAGGTTCCGTGGTGTTGGTGGGGAAGTACTTCATCCTGTCGGAGTTTGTGCCGTAAATGTCTTATTGGCAGGAAAGGTGTTCCCAACAAAGTTTCTTGTGCTGCAACGTTGTACCCACGATGTGATTCTCAGTCTTGACTTTCTCCAAGAATGTGGCGCTTTCGTCGATTGTGGAAGCGGTGAACTTTCCGTCAGCGGTGACATTGTTCCTGCCCTCGTCGATGAGGCGCCGCAGGCCACGAAGGATGCTCTGATTGTTTCCGACGAGCTAAATTGGCCAGTATATGTTCAATGGTGCACAGGAGGGCACATAATGCATCTAAAGGTAGAGGATGCCTCCAGAAGCACGCAACTAAGTTTGTTAAGTGCATCACCGGAGTAGTATATAAGATACCCCTTTCTTGCGGACGGATGTACATTGGCCAGACCGGCCGATGTGTGAACGTGCGTCTCAGGGAACACAGAAGCTCGTTGAAAAGTACACCTTACTCCCATTTAGCGTCACATTGCGTTTCGTGCAAGTGCCAACCTCTGTTTGAGAATACAATTGTTCTGTTCCGGCATCCTCATCAAACTACGCGCGAAATTTCTGAAGCCTATCACATTTCCAGGAATACGGACCAATGTATAAGTCATCCTTCCCTCTCACTACTTGACTGTGAAATCAGCTACCTAGATAGCCCTTAGACATGTGCCTTGATTACACGCTTCGCATGCTGCCCTTGATTTCGTCATAATCTTTTTTTTGACATGCGCATTTTGTGTTTATATATGTCCTTCCGATGTGGAAAATAAATCAGTTGTTAGTTGAGCGCTGGTGTTGTGTGGTTCCTCGCTTCGTCCTTTGTGTTTTCTCTGCGCTCCCAGTTCGCTGAACGAAGAAAATGAATTACCAACTGGCCCACATTTTGATCCTTTTGGATAATAGTGTGCGTCGACCACCTTACCAGATACGCCAAAACCGCTGCGATACCATCTTCTAAAGCTGATGGCGTCGCTGCCTTTTTGTGTGTGTATATATATATATATACACACTATTTGAATTTGATTTGAAATTATTCAAACCAAATCACGCCTATTCCTTTTAAACCTATTTATTATTCCCACAAGCCTGTAGAATCACACTGGATGTCAAACTATGCTAGTTACATAGTGAGTGGGGGGTTGACAGCTGCCAACCCATAACCAAACCTGAATTAAAATTCATCATCACTGTTGCCACCACACGCCATAGCAATTACAAAGTGTGCTACCACATAGGTGCAAGTATTGCCTCATAGGCTAACAGTGGGCTCCTTGCAACTGTATATTCTTTTCCTCACAGCATGGCTAAGGTGTCCACAGAGAAGTGAAGCAAGGCAAACGAACGACACTATGGTGCAAACAAAGCTTTATAATGCTATCGTGCTGCACTCTTAAAAGCGAAGCTTAAGCATTCTCCAAATTTTTATGGTTCATCTTTTAATACAGTCACAGAGATTGTTGGATCAACTCCCCTGCCATTACGGCTGAATTTACAAAAGTTGATCGTTTTATTTGCATCCGTAAGATAAAAAAGAATGATGAAGCAATGCTGACTGGTGTATTGTCGGCTGCATCATGTCACCGCTAAATGCCGGGCCATGCCTGCTGATTAGGCTAGTGCGAATAGTAATTTTTGTCGAATAATTTCGAATCGAATTTAAGTAGTATGAATCACATATAATAAAAAAAGAATGGGCCTATTTGTCATGACGTAATTAACCTGCACATATTTTAAAACTTGAAACGAGGCCAATGAAATGTTATTTATTTAGGTTAACAAGAAGTGTAAACAAGTTAGAAAAGTAGCAGGATTTGACTTTCAGTAGCATGCAAGTGATAACTGTAATACAAGTTACTTTTTAAAATTTACTACACTTAGAGCATGTCGGCATAACAAGCTTTTAAACTTCAAAAAAAAAAAAAGAATCGTTGTGAGAGCACTATGAGTACTATGAGCCACATTTATAGGGTGTTAGATGTGAAGTAATGTGCATTTATTTATTCATCTCGAATACTTCAAAATTTTCAATAACTTAAATACGAAGCGAATTCGAATACTGTAATACTTGTTCAAATATTCACACAAACTTACTACTGCTATAACTTGTAAATTGACTTGCACATCATCTTAGTGGTGCAAGTTTGACTGCACTATCATCTTTGTGGTACGACAGCACTCAGTTCAAGCCCCAGGATCATTCCTAGCTGTATGCCGACACCCCTACAACAGCCCATGCAAAGGTATTTCACATCTTCAGGCATAAGGCAAATGTACCCAAAATATACGTTAAACAATAGATTAATATTGCTGCTATTGTAAAACACCCATGATTCCGCTAGTCTTGTAATATTAACTGTGGTATAGCTTAAACAAAGCATGCATAGAAAAAAACTGGGAACTCTGGCCTACCTGTATCACCCCACTTTCGTCAAAAGTGGCCACCAGGGGACCCAGGTTCTCAAAGGCTACGGCGAGTACTGGCATGAGTGCCACTCGAGAGCATCTGCGGTAGTTGCTCACGTTCCAAACCACAACCGTGCCATCTGATGAAGAGGACACCAGCTGGCTGCCATCGTGGGAGAAGCGAACAGACTTGACATCTTCAGCATCACCTGGGCATGGCATGGAAGACAATAAGTGCTGGAGTTTTACGTCCCAAAACCACGATACATTTACGAAAGACATAGTGGAGGAGGGCTCTGAAAATTTTGACCACATAGGGTTCTTCGTAGGGCCCCTCAACAGGTCTGACAATTTTGAGCTGATGAGCGCAATGCATACACTGGGCACCCGCAGTCACGTCTGCCGAAATTCGCAATGCTACGGGCCCTGAAAATGAGTCAAATTTCAAGCTGAACGCCGCTTGCCCTTTATTCGTGCCGTTGCACCCAGAGATTTAGCCGATGACATAGACAATAGAATCGCCCTACATAGACAATAGTGCTGTGACGTTGGTCCTCTACGTAAACGAATGTAGCCTGGCGTCGCCAACACTAGCACGTGACACAGCGAAAATGATTTGACACATGCACTTTGTGCAATTTGTGGCTTGAATAGATTAATAAAACTTCACAGAAAAAAGATACGCACAAAGGGAATGTGTGCATGCATTCAATTTCTCTCCTATCAATTGCAGCGATATTCGGGGTTAATGTGCCTCTGTTTCGTTTGCGTTCATGTGCCCACGGTGCCCTGTGGTTATCGCATCAAGCAAATGCCGGCCCTGCAAATGAAAGTTATGTTCTGGCGCATTCAAGCGCACATTATGATTATTTATTCCAGCGCATTCAAGTAAACGTTAATGCAACACTGGCTCATGATACCACCTCTCTCGTTCCTCTAAAACCCAGCGAACCACTGATATTCTGTCAACATAAAAATAAGATCCATAGGTCTACGCCTATCGATAACATCTAATCGACATCCCCATAATGTGCCATCCTTAAAGTCTAGAGAGCCTACATAATATCAATGTCGTATGCACATCTCTCTTTGACAAAAACTGTCTCTCTTTGACAAAAACAAAAAAAAGGTGCTCGAAAATAAATAGATATGTAAGGTTCGAGCGTGAGTAATGCATACACTTACATGTGCGAGGAGATACAGTGTACAAATGACCATAAAATTAACATGCATGGCGTTATTGCTGCCATACATGCATGAAGGGAGAAATCATGCAGCTCGAAAGTACTTCTAAGTGTGAAGCCCTTAACGAGCCTGGGCTTTCGACACTCGGCGTAACACAAGCAAAACCACAAGCAAAACCACATAAAATGAAAAAAAGATGAAGCAAGTGAGAAATGGAAAGAGATGGAAAAGGAAGAAATAGGAAGAAAAATAGAAAGGGCAAGGGAAAAAGATTTTAAAAATACAGTAGACTTCCAGTAAACGGAACCTGAAGGGACCGGGAAAATGTGTTCCATTTAACAGGAGTTCCGTTTACGGAAAGGTGAAAATGGGTGCGGAATACAAGCCTGAAACCAAGTATTGCAGAGTCAATCGTTCAAATTAAGCAGTATTCCGTTTAACAGATTTCCGTTTACTGAGCTTATTGTAGAGGAGAAATGAAGACAGAGAAAACTGAAACAGAAAAAAAAAGAAAAAAGGGAGGAAAGGAAGTTCTAGAGAAACAAAGCAGACTTATTCCCAGCTCGGCACTTCCTTCAGGCTTGCTGCATGTATAGTTCTGTACCTGCGCTCCTGCTGCAGTCTGGCTCTTAGCTGGTGTGCTATACTTACAGAAAGCATCAACAGCGTGAGGCTGGCCTCAAAATTTTCGTCTGGCCAAAATCTGGCTAGCCTCGCCCCTCCGCGGTGGTCTAGTGGCTTGTGGCTAAAGAACCCCAGTTGGCCAAAATTTTCCGAGCCCTTTACTACGGCTTCTCTTGTGTGGAGGTTTTGGATCGTTAAACCCCACATATCAATCTAGCCAGCCTCACGCCTTTGATGGTTTCTATAAAGTACAGGTGAGCGGCAATGAGCAAGACTGCAATGGGCTTGCACCTCTAACACACCAACTACATAAAATAAGTGTGCAAAGTGCATGAAAAAACCTTTTATTCAATAAATGACAATGTCTATGTATACCTATTGAATGTCCATTCAGTGTCTATGTGCAATGTACCTGCAGCCTCACTCGGCCGAGTTTTTTATAGCTGCAGGTACATCTAACCTTCATAATTTGAATTTATATAGATATCTAAGAGACATTTACAATGTCCACGAGAAACATAGCATGGATGTCTACACAATATTTGTGTTTCACTGGGAATGTCGCAGTTTTTGTGCTCGGTAATCGGTTAGAAGCTTGATGATTGGCGAGGCAGTAGACCACATACTAGCACTGGTCAATGAAACAATGATATTCACTTGCTCCGGGGGTTGGGCTTGCTGGCATCCGAGTGAGAGGAACACGTCATGCACACGCGCCCTATAGTGTGCGTGACGTGTTCCTCTTGCTCGGATGCCAGAGAGCATAGGGAAGGAACTTGGCTTGCAAAGGCTACGCGGGGCAAGCAGCAGGTGTTTCGAGCTCGCCCCCTTGCATCATGGTTTCGTGCCGCTTCAAAATACTGCTTCTCTCAGCCCGTAATGAAACAATTGAAAAAATTCTAGCGGTATAATTCCCTTCAATGGACACACAACTGCGACTGTCTAACTAAAATATGTTATGGGGCCTGATGAGGGGCCCTTTCAAATTGCACCTAAATGGTGTGCACTTTGCCTCTATCATGATGCAGCTGCGACAGCAGGGATTCGATTGTGCGACCTTTGGGTCCGCAGTCAAAACACTAGACCATTATGACAGGTACGAAAGTTGATTAGCTGCACAGTTAAAGTTACACAATTGAAAGTTGGAGATGCAGAAAGCACTAAAAGCAGGTACATTGTAAATCAGCTTTACAGATACAGTAGACTCAATAATTCAAACTCAGGATCTCAGGAGTCCCTTTGAATTATAAGAAGTTTTCATAAATATGACTAGGGGCAACATAAGCTGTTATGTTGCCCCTTGTGGCGCATCTCTAGTGGCAAAAATATTCTATTAAATAATTCACAGGACTTATAAACAGCTTTAACAAGCGTACAGGCTATAATAGTTTTTTCATAATCGTGTTTGTAAGCACACACTGAATGAGAGGGGCATTGGTGCTGTTTCCGCTTCCATCACTCAATGGCCACCAAAGTTTGGATGGAGTTGTGGGGTCCTTCACCGACTCGAAGGCCTTCTAAATGTACCATGCAGCAGCTTATGCTTGACAACCGAACCTATCCCTTTATACGGCCTTCCAAATGTCCATATGACCCAGGTATAAGTTTCTTTTTCCCCTTGGATATGAGATCATTCAAATAGGTATGAAAAAACTTTTGACGCTTTCAAGTGTCACTTGTCTGCGAATGCACTGAGCTTAAATGCTGCTTCAAGGAACTGAGTATTCTACTACAACAACAAAAACAATCTTGTCATATGTTGATTTATTTTCTACGGTAATTTATATTATACACATTATAATTATGTATGTATTTATCCTGAAGTCATTCATGTTGTTTTCTTTTTATATAAATAGAATACATTATTCAATTAGGAATATAGCAAGATTTCATTTTCGGTTATGTTTATTTTGAACAGAAATCCTTTTGATGTGTTTCCAGAAAGCAGCATGTCGAACATGGTAGCGCCTTCCGCAAAGTGATCATATGCAGCAGTACAACGAAAGATGCAGTTAAAGTGAGGACATATTTATTATGCAGGAGGTTAAATTTATCTGAAATTCAATGTATCTTGCCATCTCTTAGCCACTAGTCACCAAAACAAGCACGATCGTGCTGTCGAGACATCAGCTACCACAATGTGTACACAGGGTCTCAAAAGGTTAAGACTAAAAAGCACACCTTTGAAGCTTCCCAGCGCTGCTCCAGTGTCTGCATTCCACAGCAAGATAGCCCGCAGCGACGTTCCAGCTGCAATCAGTGTTTTGTCAGGAGAGACTGCACAGCATGTCAAGTTGTAGCTCTTCCAGAAGCCATTGTAGCGCTTGGCACTCTCTGCTGATGGGTTGCACAGGTCCCAGGACCAAATCTGCTCACCGGCAGCTGAAATAACCTGCTGCCTGGCACTTACGGTACCCCTGAACACGTGTGTAAGGCAGCAATCCACAACGGCACTGTCTGCGTGGTCAAGAACTTGTGGCCTTTCAGGCTGCTCTACTTGAGCTGCGAGGCAGGTGAGAAAATACATTGCACTGTGCCATTCGGGATGCCAGTGAACGCACGATGTCAGCTCTGTGCTCAGACTGTCGTACGCTTAGTTCGCAAATATGGCGCCAAAGCACCAAAGGCTGCATACTATATAAAAGAGTGGTAAACTGGCAAACTATGGCTAATTTTGCAATGTATCATATTTTGCTGTTATTAACATATTTTACCTTACTACTACAGTCAAGCCCTTTTAAAAGAGGCATGGTCTGGGTAGCAGTTCATGTCTCTTATAAGCAGGGTACTTCATATTCATTTTCTTATCAACCCGTATTTTACTGTAGGCCCACTGGTGTCTGTTATACCTATTTGTCTCTTATATTAGTGTCTCTTATAAAGGGGTTCAGCTGTATTCAAGCCCTGCCATTATGTTCACTTCAACATCTGCTTCAAGATAAAAAGTGTTATTTGCATGAGTTATTATTCTTATTTTTAGAAGTACCAAGCAAGTTAGTTGGGTCATGATTAAAATTTTCATTTTTCTTTACATATCATATTACGACTGTTTGATATGAAATTATTCCAATGAATCATTATTTACTTCAATTCTCTCGATCAACACTCACCCAATCCCTACAAGAAAGTACAAAAACAATTCATCAGTTTCAGGCAATTTCCTTCATTACAATTGATCATCTTTTTATGTATGCAGCCTTTGATGCCTTCATTTGCACCATTAACTTAATGCTTTTTTTTTTGCAACGCCATTAATGCAATGATCAAAGCACCTGCGTGCACACCCTAGCAAGTAAAGCCAACACAATCACACAAACTGTTTAGCTCTGCTCACCTGTCTGAGTATCAGATGGTACCTTCCATATCACTACACTCTGGGAATCGAGGGCCAGCACAAGGCGACGAGGAGAGTCACTTGTGAAGCAACAGCTGCGAACGGCATTTCCCTGTTTTGGAATTGCCTTGACCAGTTCTCCGTCTAGGTCGCCCCTTCTGATACGATGAATCTGAAAGGGCAGAGTGGTACAATTTACTCTTCATACAATACATTCTGCAAGTTCAAGTTTGTACAGCTAGTCCCTCTCAATTAAGGAAGCCCCACAACACTTTTTCCGTGGGGTCAGAAATGCACTGCCAATCAGTAGTCGAGGCTACCGAGTTTGAGCCAACCATCATAGTAGTGGAGCACGCGGCCTGGAATTTACAATGAATTCTGAAAGTCAGCTAGAAATCACTCAGTCCACAAATCGCAAATCCAAATGACCAAGCCATAGGTCCAAAGTCCATGGCCATTGCCTGATTTGGGGATTGTGAGCTGTGTAGTTACCGCAGCCGTCACGAGATTCCGCAATGTGCCCACGCATTCACTCATGATCGCTGTGAAAGTAAGCTGCACAGTTGAATAAAAAAAAATTGCCCGGCCTCCGCGGAACGTGCAGCACAGTCGCAGAAAAGCTGGATGAGTGGCCGTTTTAGAGCCTTCAGGGATGGAACAGGGTACACAAGATTTGGAGCAATCTTGGAGCAATTAACCATGCGTAAGGTTGCCCAAGCAGGCAAGAGTGCCTTTTGTAGCAGGCTTGAAGCATCCATAAAGACATTTTGGAGGAGGTTTGTAGCAGCCAGAATGGCCTTTTTTTTAGCATGTTTGTAACTGAGAGAACATTCAGAGAAGATGTAGCCTCGCTACACAGCACTTTAGAGCAACATTTGCCTAATGCTGAATTTTTGAAACTTCGCTTAATTGTGCAATAGCCTTATAATTGCGATAGCATTATTAAAACTTCACTGCTCAAGCCATAACACCCTTGATGAAACCAAAACAATAACTGCTTCGATGAGACGCAGTGTTTCAGCCACATTTTCCATGCGAACCAACAATTCCCATTGCTTGATGGCTGCCGCGGCTAAATTAAGGTGCTGCGGAGAAGTACGGCGCTGACAAACGAGTTTGGCGCACCAGGCGTTGTTTGGCACAGGTAAAAAAGTTTGGCACACAATGGCTTATATGGTGCAACTGCACCACCCCTGAGCCTTTTTTTTAACACTCTTGGAGCATCTACTGCAAACACACTTGCATGGTGCCTACTAAGTCATAAATCATCATGATTTTTGTTTAGAGGGGATGCGTCCACTAAGCCATTTATTCGTCATTCATCAGAAAAGCGTGGTACCTGCTACACACTTGTAAGGCAAAAGGGACTTGTTTTTCGGTGAGATGATGCTTACTTTAGCTCTTCCCATTTCACGAAATGTTTTTTGCGCCTCAGTCATCTGCACTTGTAAGGCATTATGCACACTTTTTTCATGCTGTGGCTGAGGACGAAAAATCATGCCTGAGGATTTTGTAATGGGTTGGAGCGTTCAATGACCCGCTCGTTATACAATTCACAATATGCCATACTTAGTTGTTACATTATGATTATAACAAGCTTCATACACATGTTAACGCGATTACTTAACAGACATGAAGGCTGCGTAGGGCCAGTTTTCAACGTAGTTTCTAGCACCGATATACCTCAGTGGTAGAGAACTGGGCTGTCACGCAGCTTTGAGAGCAGGAATATTACGGTTTTGGAGCAGATCTGGAGCAGTAAAAGGGGAGTTTTGTAGCAGCTTTGGAGCACCAAAAGATGTATTTTGGAGCATCAAAATTTAGTTTTGAAGCAGATTTCTTGGGTCACACATCACTGTTAATTAGAAGTCTTGCTTTCTCATAAAACCAAAAAATTTCAGTGGTTTTTATTAAGCATTCGATGCTGATCAGGTGACAAGAGTTACTTCAAATTGATAAACATATTAAATCTTACAACATCAAAGCTGAAAGCTCAGCAACTCAAAAAAAAAAAAAAAAACATAAGCGGCACCCTGGACAGCTACCTCACCTCAGACGAATGAAAAAAAAAATTGATGTTAAGACGTGGCAATGTTCGATATGTGAATAAAACACCGCATATAACATGAAGAGCAAGTCAACTAGACTAGAGATGAACTAATAAAAGCTATTTGCAGCTTAAGGCGCGAAAACGACACGGACGAAGAGAGACAGTACACACACACGGAGCGCCAAGTGTGTGTACTGTCTCTCTTCGTCCGTGTCGTTTTCGCGCCTTAAGCTGCAAATATGTTAAACCAACAAGCCCAGTCTGCTATTCTTACATCTAATAAAAGCTGTTTTCATACTAAACCAAGAGGACTTTATAAAAATGAGTGTAAAGAATTTGCGTTCCGTTCATTGAAGTGCTACAGCCGACATGAAACCGCAAAAGAAATTTAGATGGGCTCGCCGCGCCATTGGGGAGTTTTAAAATAACGTTTGCAGGCGCTGCGGGCGTTACGGGCATAGCTGGCACCATACAAGTTTTAGAATAGCGTTTGCCCTCCTGCAAACCGCAACGCACGATCTCAGCGGTACCGTAGCTTCGAAACCAGCGTCTGCAGGTCACATGCGGGGCACACACGCTGCCTGCTATTTCCGATTTTCTGCGTGCTAACCGCGAACGCGAACGGCGGCTCGCCTTACGACGCATGCGCAGTGGCAGCAACCACACCTCAAGGGCTCGCGGTGCGCTATTCTAAAACTCCCTATTGCTAGGCAATTAAGTGATTTTTATTATTACGATATGAACTATATGGACATTAAACGGGTTTTTGCTACTGCCGCCATGTTCCGCGTAAACTACAAGTTGGTAGCAATCCCTGCGCATCGTACGTTCTACCCGTGCGTAAGGTTGCCCAAGCTGCCCCGCCACGGTGGTCTAGTGGCGTGGGATCGAATCCCGGCTGCGGCGGCTGCATTTCCGATGGAGACGACAATGCTGTAGGCCCGTGTGCTCAGATTTGGGTGCACGTTGAAGAGCCCCGGGTCGTCAAAATTTTCGGAGCCCTCAACTGCGGCCTCTCTCATAATCATATGGTGGTTTTGGGACGTTAAACTCCACGTATCATCATTGCACAAGCTGTGGTGGTAAGCACTGCTCAAGCAGAGATTAAGCGAGGTAGATAATCTCGGTCACTCACTCGGAGCGGTCTCACCTACGCGAGTTACACCTGTCGTTGAATGCTCAAGCAGTGATAAAACACGCCCTCCGTCTTGAACGAGCATGAAAAAAGACCTGGAGGGAAGGACGGGGGGGGGGGGGGGGTGCTCGAGCAGCAGCAGTGAACTTTCATTCTAAGGCGCGGTTGCGATAAGCTGGCGCGCGCGCTATCGGCAAGCATCAGCACGCGGCTCGTAAACCCTTCTATGTGGTGAGCTCTCAACAGGAAGAGATTGTGCGATGAAAGTATTTCTCCCTAGAGCGGCCATCCTTATTCTCTTACACCAGCGTTTCGTAGAGTGTCGTGATGGTGGATCCAAAAGAATTCGCTTTCAACCTTTGTGTTGTCACGTGGTCATGATGTTGACGAAGGCAGCAGTTGCTGTTTTCCCAAGTGAGCTTTTGATTTGGGCGAACCTGTGCCTGAAAAACTAAACGTCACTATACGAGCAATACGCGCTGTAGACTGATAACAGCAAACCAGAGCATCGGCCGTCGGTAATCTGCTAAGCAGCAAAGTGCGTCAGCATTTATACATATGCCATCAAAATTTACAGCTTTATCGCTACCATGAAAGATTCCAGCGTTATCACTAGCGGCCGCGTAAGTTCCAGAACTCGTAATGTACGCGTTCTGCACGTAATCTCATCGGAAGGTTCTAAGACTATCTAGATTGTTCCCAGTCATTCAGGCGGAATTCGCGCAAGGCAGCATTACATGTGTAATGGTGTGGTAGCAAAAAGAGAAAGGGGCAGGTGGGGCATTAGCATTACAACATTACAAATTCTTGCTGTTGCAGTCATTGCATCACCAGTGAAACTGATTTTTAGTTGTTTTTTTTTTTCAGTTTATATGATTCGGTTAACAGCTTTGCTGTTCAAACATATATAGAGTCACATAATGAGGTATGCACACGAATGCCACCTCAACAAGATTCATGCATGAACCGAAATACGACATGACTAGTGAAACGAAACCAATAGATGTGACCAAACTAATTTAATATGAACACGATTGCGTCCTTAGTGTAGCACACACGTGTTGCTCGGTTGATTATAAAATTTGATTAAATTTTGCGATGCACACGCAAATTGCCGTTTAGGCGCAGCTTGGAGCAGCAGGTCAAATTGGCGCAAAATGGCGCAAATGGCGCAGCACTTCCACCCCTGAATACATTGAAAGAATAGAAAGCCTACCAAAAAATCGAATCTTGTTTGAATTAACTGAAAGTATGAATTATCAGAGTTTGAATTATCGCGAGTCTACTGTACTTGGATAAGTGTGCCAGAGCCGCTTTATTGGGACAAGTTTCTAAGTATGACAGCATTATACAAAACTCCATACTAAAGCAGTCAGCAAGCTATGCTGAATGGCCTTGTCTCATGTAGACCATAAGGCCCGATAAACATTGGATAAAACGTGCCATCATATGCTCCAACTACTCGAACCAACCTAACTGCACAGCCAGTGACATTTGCAATGTCACTGGCTGTGCATTTTTCACTTTTCTATCTTATGAAGCGTACGTACAGAGAAGCACACATAGATGTGTGTGCTTTTATGCCCACAAGCATCCTGCACAAGTCCTCAGTTGAGTGCAGCAGCACACTGTCACACAGCACAGTGTGCTAACTATGCAGCTAAGCCGATTCACTGCTTCACATAGTTTCACAATCTGCTTCGTGAATAAAAAGACCAGCGAACTGTGCCACCCTTGTACAGAATGGCTGGCTCGTGATCTTTAGGGAATACTACAGCTACAATAAAATCTCCAAGACGATGCCTATAAGAAACAGCCTGCATGCTATGTCGTGGTGAGAAAAGAAGCAAGTGCTTTGGTATTTTTCGCAAGGCCACGACGGGTGTGAGCACGTGCCGTAAAGAAGCACTAGCTAGAACTGCCTATTACGCCCTTACAGAGCCAACAATGACAAAATGATGATACAGTTACCTTGACGAACCCACGTGCGTCTCCAGAGGCCAGTAGCTTGCCATCGGGTGAGAAAGCACAGCAAAGAACAGCAGCACTGTGTTCAACAGAGGCAGCTCTGGAGCAGCGCGAGCAGCGGCGTGCTCCCAATCGGCCTAACTTGGGTGATGCTCCCAATGGCGATGCTGAAAGATAACAAGCAATTATTTCCGAATAACAATTCAAAAGAAAATCAGACAGAAGTTGACACAAATTTTTCAAACGACACAATTTTTTTTTGCCAGATTAAATGTTTCTTTTTTAATAAGAATTCAAGAATCTTAAACAGAAAAAAAGTGGCAATGGGTTTCAACATCAGAATTATCAGAAGTGTCTGAAAAACCGGTCACTGACTGCAAATGCACCTATTTCAGGCTGACCTGGAATCCCATGGAAGCCTTCACCAATATTCCACAGGATGACCAGGTGGTCCGAGGAGGCTGATGCGAGCATGTGGCCATCAGGGCTAAAGGTGCAGTAGTTGATGGCCTGTTTGTGGCCAGTCAAAGCTTGAAGCTCATGGCCAGAGCAACTCTGCCACAGCTATGAATTAAAAAAAAAGGAAAGAAAATGAAGAAGGGCACGTGAAAAAGAAATTTTTATCTAAGTACAAGTTATAAAAAGTAAATTTATAAATTAAGACTCAAAAAAGCATTTTTGTATACAAGTTTCTCCACTTCTGAAACAAGAGACTATACAGAGGCACTGCTTCGAGTCACAAAGAAAGAAGTACGAAGAACAAATATGGCAGATGCATGATACAGGAGAGCGAAACCTGTCTACCACACCTTCGCAAGAACGCCCTCAGACACACGTGTGATGCAAGAAGTGGTACTGCTTAGGTGGCATCGCACCATGACAATTCCTTTAGCTAAGGTGAACCAACAGATCCCAGTCAGGAGAAAGTGCTTGCACTGGCATTGGTCAGGCAAAGGAGCATGAAGGGAAGCGAGGGAAGGGGGCTGCATCACTTGAGCAGCAACTGCAAACCATGATGATGATAAGGGCATGGTGGCTAGCACTGGTGCGTGAGCTATCTCAGCAGAAATCAGCATACGGCTTGCTTACTTTGTGTTGATATGAGAGACAGCACGAAAGCTGCTTCGTGCCGCCAGAGTTTTGTAGTTACGAGATTTAATTCCAAAGAGTTAGCTGCAAGCTTACTACTTCATAAAGCGCTACAATGTCTTGCTATCGCACTCATTGCTCCACCCTGGCAGCATAATTTTTCGTGCTTTCATAAAAGCCTTGCAGTGCGTGCCAGGTGGTGATGATGATGATGATGATGATAGGAGCTCGTATGAGCATGCCACATCGCGGATAACAGCAGCACATGAAAGCACCTAAGAGTGCCTGAAAGCGCAGTAACTAGTTTCGGAGCAGGATGGTGCAGCAAGAGATGGGTGCAGCATGGCACATATGACACAGAACTTCCACCCCTGTGTCTCTATGTATGAGGCCGCAAGTGGCAGCAAGTAGCTCAAAGGTTCCTGAAATCCTACAATAAGCACTTCTTGGCGACAATATGGACCACATGGAACTTTTTAAAAGACAACAGAGAAAAACAATTTTTCTCGTATTAGTAAGGCTCTCTTTCACCATTTTAAAATCACCGCACTTGGTACAAGATTACGCTTTGCAAGCAACAAAACATGCAAAATAAAAATAAGTGTGGTGCCGCAACTTTGAAATGCCCCCACCAAACACCACGACCTCATACATTTTGACGGTGTCAATTATGTCCCATGTAATTTCAATCAGTAAAAGAGAGATACAATGCTCTCTGAAAGGGTCGTGCACAAAATATACCAAGTTTTAAGAAATCTCATTGAGCCAGTGCCACCAAAATACAAGTACATCTGGAAATCTGTAATATCGCATGCAGAGATTACAGCACAAAATTTATAAATGAAATGCTGACCTTGATTTTTCTCATCTGTGAATTAACTTATCAAGGTGAAATTAATGACAGGGTTCTCAGAGTACAGCTTATCAATTTGAGCCGACTGTTTCACTTTAGTGTCCCTTTGAAATTTTTCTTGGAGACACTTCAGGCATAAGCACTCACCCTGACTATGTGGTCATCTCCAGCTGAGGCGATGATGGTGTCATCTGGACTGAATTCTGCGTGGTTCACACCGCCATTCGGAGATTTCATTCTGACTTCAGCCTGGGACCAGTTATCGGGCATGTTCCTGACAATAAAATAAGGGTGACCTCGCACTTGCAACACCGTCACATTCATTAATGAAGACAGGCTACATCAATGATGACTGAAAGAGATTCATCAGTGACGTTACAAGTGAAACATTGATTACATTTCCCGGTTTTGCAATAATCTGCCTTTTACAATGAATCAGTTTTGGTACCTGCAGTACCCCTACAGAGATGATGTACTAATAAAAACTTTGAACAGATGTTGAAATTTTACGCCAACCCCACATCAAGTGGCCGACTCTCTAATACAGCTCGAGAAAAAGAAAATCGCCCCTTTCTTACTTGGATCTAATACCCCCAAAAATTTGCAGGTGCAAAAAAATAGTAATACTAATAATAAAACTTGCTTTTCACTGGGTTGACGATTAGGAAAGTAAAAGTGAGAGACGCGTACAGAAAGCTGAAGTGTGCGAATATTTTGAAAGTTTTTCTAATAGTGTTTGCTATTAGATTTTATTCACACTGAAATTGTACGATTCTATCTATTCAAAACTTCCAGAAGGTACATATACTGTCGATAACTAATTTTTCGAACTCCCTAGCGAATGCAAATTTGTCTGAAAGACTAATTGATGCATTTCTATTCCGCTCAAGCACTCAAGTTGCCATGGTCACATCCAAACCGGGCCTCTGCTTATAATGTGTTTTGCTGTGCGCCAATACTTTTGTGAATACATTCGGTACCTGCTGTGAACCCTATCTTCGTAAATTTGCATCTCGTGATGAGCCGCTGCTCATACAAGCAATCCACAAAAATAAATTACAAATCTCTCGTGTGAAGCACTTGGTAACGATGACGCCCACTACAAAGACTGTTGCAGAAGAGCGGACGACTCGTCCGGCTTTCCCTGATGAGTGTGCACACATGAATAATCACCACCAATACACAGCATTTCCTGCTGCGTGAAGACTATCCTTCCTAGTTGTGTGCAGTACAACTAAAGCTTACAGCTTGAGTGTTTGCTGTACCATTCACATGCATTTGTCAAGAAAGCGTTGATTATACCCACTCCGTTCTTAACTGCACATGGGCAAGGCAATGGCGAGCTGCTTGCATTCATCAAGGCTGCGCGCCTGTGCAGTGCACTTAGTGGTCTCGCACAAAGAGGCAACATGAAAAGCAGCACGATGCCTTTGCGACGTGCACATGCCACTAGCAGAGCTAGGCCACATGCACCAATAAGCAGTAAGCTTAGGATGCTTATCAGAAGGTTGTCAGTGATTACACTGCATTGGTGCGCTTTGCGCATACGACTATGACGCCTTTGTGCATTTACGGTGCTTATCCCGTAAAATAAAAACATCACCACACTGAGCTATTGCAGTAGCTCCTTCATATTTTTATATGCTTCAGTGATCACACTCTGAAATTTGTGGCAAATCTACTCTTCGGGCTCTGCTACGAGCACACAGATCGACTCGTAAAAGCTCTGGTTTGAATCTGCACGGCAGAGGTGCCGACTTAAAATAACGCCGTTTTGGACCAGGAAGTCCGAAAATATTGGACGAATATTTCCAGCATACCCAACTTTAGATGCTTTAATCATTGACATCTATGAAGCAGATGAGGAAGTTCGGACTCTCAAGGAGCACAACCTTGACCGTCCCATGAAGTGGGTCTCCACAGAAGCTGAAGGAGGAAAGGCTCAGGAAATAATTCTTTCCTTCTTTTTCAGGAAAGAAGTAGGCACCACACCCCTGCCTGTCTAGTATTCAATGACGCTTGTGCTAAAGGAGAAATTCTCCTGCTTAGCTTATAATGTTACGTGGACTCTCTTTTCAGCAGGTCATCTTTTGAAATATCTCATCTCAGGCTGCACGGTTGGAATGCCAGGGTATGCTTGCCCGTGAATGCCAGTGCTGATAAAGGAACACAGATCTTTCAGCGACACTCTCAGGCTGCATTCGTCTGGTCTACTTCAAGTTTGGTGTCTTGTCCCAAGCACAATTTAAGTTCACATAATAATGTCTTACCAACTATCCCCTTAACACACGCTCCTCAAGTTCATTGATGAAGGGCAGGTGAACACTGCTCCGCACTTCCTACTGCTTTCACGTAGAGTGCAACTGCACAGATATTTATATCTATTGTTTGCTGGTTTTTTGTTCAGACAATATAATTATAGCTATTTTTTATCTATACCCACGTTCAAAGTTTTGTATTTATTTCTCACCCCAAAACAGTTTTAGTAAAATTTATAGAGGAGCGAAAATAGTGAATTTAACATCGAATTGTTGCATCGAATTTATATCGAATTGAATTGTTCGAATAGTTTTCGGATAGTAAGGTGATAATTTTCAAGGCAGTCCTAGACTGGCAAGGCAAGAATTTTCAAAGCAACCAAAGAATTTCTCAACGTTTAATTTAAGGGGGGACGCGGCCCTTGAAAACCGAAAAATCGCGAAAAAGTCGGTTTTTGAAAAACCACATTTTTGGGTTGTATGTCTCATAAACTACCTATTCTGTAATTATCAGCACCTAATTCAACCGCAAAGTGCAAAAAAAATACTATTTTCGAGGCCGCCGCGGCGTCCAAAACAGGCGCAAATCTGGAAATCAAACCAAACTTCGCCCGCGCGCCATTCCCGGACCATGCGGTCGTCCCGCGCCATCTTGGTGTTGTTTTGACCGTGAATTCTTTCTCTCTCGTTCGCCGCCTTGCAAAATGGCGTCGGCAGCACAGTTGAGACGCTATTGGCGTTTTCCTGCGATGCGATGCGGAGCGCTGATTGGCTAGAGCAGCGCATTCATATCTCGCGGGAGAAAGCGTGCCCGCCATTGGCTGCTGTGCAGCAGCGGGGGGGGTCGCTCCTCTCGATGGCGCGTCCAGCGCGCTCGCTTCGTTGTTGCTCTCTGCTTCGTCCGCCTCGACAGACGTCTGCTTACGAGCCGCTCTTCGCCTTGTGCTATCTTTTTGATCATTTTCTCTCGTTTTTTTTTTCTTTTTGCACTAGTTCTGTGTCTTTCGTCTTTGTTGTTGCGGGCGATGCCGGCAACGAAGTCGAAGTCAGTGCAGAAGTCCGGTGCGCGGAGGCTCGCTATGGGGCTTGTACGATCATTGAAATTCTGCTATTCTGCTGCGGGTGCCGACTGCGTAGACGCTTGCAGCGACGGAACTGTGTTGTCGGCTGTCGCCAGTCGAGAATCCGACACATCGAGTGTGGCTGGAGCCGCAAATGCACCGAGGGTTTCCGAGATCGCCGGACCTAGCACTTCGTCTGAATCGGTGCCATCGAGCGTGACACCGAGTGCTTCTGATATCGCCGGACCCAGCACTTCGTCTGAATCGGTGCCGCCATCGAGCGTGAGTGGACCGTCGCTTCATCTGCGGACGCGTTTCCTAACGAAGGAAGAAATCGATGCGAATGCGAAACGTCGTGACGCCGTTCGCGCTGAACTCGAGTATACGCCGGCGACGCAGAAGAAATTTCAACTGATGCAGCCGGCTCTTGCACCTGCAGTGACAAGTGAGGGCGAACATTTTTCGCTAGTTCAAATGAACATCTTTAACGTCATGCTCAGCCGCACAGTGTGCAAAGAATGTTTGAAAGGTGCTATCACTGTCCGAGAGAGCACCAAGCTTGGACTTGCAACAAAACTTGAAGTCGTGTGCGCCTCTTGTGGCACCGTCGATAAATTATGGACATCACCCCGCAAAAAGGACACGCAGGCCTTCGATGTAAATGTCCGTGCCATAATGGCTATAAAGCAAATAGGCAAGGGGCAAACAGCTCTTAATGACTTTTGGGCTGCCATGAACGTCTCTTACAGAGGTCTTCACCACAAGACGTTTCAAAAGCACTTGAAAGACACGTTCAGGAAGCCAGAGGCCACCGCTTTGGAGAAGTTTTATGCCGATTCTGCCACAGCAGTGATCAAAACATATAAAGAAATGGACCCCAGCTTCTGCAAGGACATCACCGTAGTGTACGATGGCACATGGCATAAGCGGGGTCACACATCACGCATCGGAGTGGGATCAGTAATTGACTTCTTTACAGGTCTCATCTTGGATGCTGTAGTTCTTTCAAACCACTGCCTTGGATGCCAAACAGGGCCCAAACCTGGAGATGCAGCATACGAAAGCTGGCAGAAGCACCACATTTGCCAAAAAAACACAGACGCAAAATTGGGAAGCATGGAAGTGGAGGCAGGCTTGACTCTCTTTGGGCGGTCTGTATCCAAGCATGGCCTGCGGTACAACACTCTTGTGTCCGACGGAGACAGCCGTACCTTCGCTGCCCTCACAGAAGAGAATGTGTACGGGCTAGTGCCAATTGTAAAAGAAGAATGTCTGAACCATGTTCAGAAAAGGATTGGAAGTGCTCTTCGAAACATTGTGCAGAAAAGTGATAAGCCACTGAGTGGGAAGGGGAAGCTGACTAAAGCCCTCATTGAAAAGCTGACAGGATATTATGGTTGGGCCCTGAGAAACAATTCAACTGACCTAACAGCCATGCAGCGTGCAGTGATGGCAACATATCACCACGTCACATCGACTGACCAGGACCCTCACCATGAACTTTGCCCAGAGGGGGCTCAATCGTGGTGCCGCCATAAAGCTGCAGAGGTAAAGCGTGAGCCACAGCCAAAACATAAACACAGCCTACCGGACTATGTCGCTGCAGCTATGCTGCCCATCTACGAAATACTGTCACAAAAGTCGCTTCTTCAGCGCTGCCTGGGAGCGAAGACGCAAAATGCATCAGAATCATTCCACTCCATTCTGTGGTCTCTGATGCCGAAGGAACAACACTCATCCTTGATCGCGGTAGAAACAGCACTGCATGAAGCAGTGCTGCGCTACAATGCCGGCTGCTGCAAAGCAACCCAAGTGATATCAAACTCCATTGGACTTCAACCAGGTCATCTGGCCATCCAGCGAGCTCGTGAAAAAGACGCTTTACGCCTAAAAAAGAATTCTAAAAGACACCAAGAGAAGATGGAGGCCAGGCAAAAGAAGAAAAGAGTGCGCCAGGACACTTCTAGCTACTGTGCTGGAGCTTTTTGAAGAAAACACGTGTTTTGAACTTTCTCGGCCTGTTTTCTCAGAATGGATTTTTTTGCTAGTTGTGGTGCTGAGGAAAGCAAGAACTCGAAAACCGTTCATCAGATTTGTGTGCCTTTTTTTTATTCTGTTCCTGAATGACCTTGCAAGGGCGTAACAAGCTCCTTTTTTTGAAAATTGGTGCTGTTAATTTATAATAAACAATTAATTTTTGATGAATCTGGTCATTACTGGTTACATCAAATTCAAAGTTGCATGAAAATTTTGGGGGGGGGGGGGATTAAAAAAAAACGGCTTTGTAGCGCCCTGGGATAGCTATCAAGGAATGACCACAATGAATATCAGCTTTCTACTATGTCCTGGGGATTTCTCACGACTCTTCCTCAGGCACCCATGTGAAGCACCCAGTTAAACCTCAATAACTCTGGAACTAAGAAACACAGCTTTGTGAAACTTAGCAGTTGTGCTAGTTTTATTGTAGTGAACAACCCCTGAAAGTTTCATCCAGATATCTTCAAAAATAAAAAAAGTTCGGTCTCCAGGTTAGCCCCCCCCTTAAAACAAACACTCAACTTTTGATGGAAGACGTTCAGATTACTTTTAACAAAAAGAAAAAAAAAATTGGTTGGTTGTAACTTTATTGCTTTGTCCTGAAGGGTTTTAGGCAACCAAAGCTCAGGTCTCTCATGATGAAATGTAGAGATCTTGTCTCCCTCACAATTATTTAAACTGAGTCAAGCTCACATACAGCAGCACCTAGAGTCTTAAAAATATATTGTAACTGCAGGCTCAAATATATTGGTGACAGCAACATTCACAGCGGTACTTTGTAGACGGCTTTCAAATAGAACTGATGCAAAATTATTATGCAATTTTCATGACATAAACATCATCATGATTGTCAAAGCAAAGATTGTAGATTGATGACCTCGTGGTTTTGGCGACAGTGGAGATTTAAGCAGAATTTTTTCATTCTGGTGATCAATATAGCGTCGATAGTCACAAAAGTAAGCAGGCTGCACGTATCTGGGCAATTCAATGGCTGCACGTATCTGGGCAATTCAATGATGAAAACATGTAAAGTTGCCCCTTCGCTGCTCCAACGTTACGTTGCTTTGAGCATAGTTCATTGTTGATGATCACTAAAATAATATTCGAGAAATGTTTGAGGTTTCGGATATACACTATTCGATTTAAGTACCGAATAGGACAGATTGCTAATCGATTTGTAATGAAAGATTTTTTAATATTAGCACACAGCTGTAAGTTTACCCTTCATAAATAAACGCACCACAAACTACCTTAGTTCTTCGGAAAAATAAGTGCGTTCATTAGGTGAGTATACATGGTGCACTATCTTTACTGCACAACACAAGCATGCGCACACACTTCACCCACTGAGCCTTACGTCCACATGAAGTAGGGAGTCTGGTGGTCTTTTTCAGCAGCACGCTTTCTGGCAAGGTCCAAGGCCTTCTGATGGACACTGGAGCTCTGTGGTTGATTTAACGCCAGCTGGATGACATCCGTGTCCCGATAAGAGAGCAAGTGGACATTAGGTTGCAAGAACCGCAGCATGTCCAGCCTTTCTTGCGCAACCTGGGCATCAGACATGCAGCTGCGATTTTTCACCCTGCCCAATGCAATAACTGTACACTGCATAGCAGCAATAGCCAGTTAAACTATGCAGGTTTTAAAAGAAAGCACACTACTTATGAAACTGAAAGTATGCTACGTGAAAAAAATAACAGAGGGAAAAAAATAAAAGAAAGCTGCAATGTGTTTAATGAATGAGGCTAATTGTGCCAGTGCCAAGTCAACATAGTCTGTCGCAACTTGAAAACCAGTGCATTGCAAAGCTGGGGTGTGATTGCACGAGGCATTTGACATGGCTCATTTCGTTCAGTTTGCTCAATACCGTGCATCTCCTTTATTAGAGCACGATTAACATAGCAACAAAAAAGCATTGCTGAACTGTCAACACACTCATAATTTTCATCTGAGGGAAGAAGAGTTGAAACTTTTGTAGAAGATGATGATGGTTTCCAGGATACAAAGCATAATATAGTGCTCTGAAAAGCAACCACGGTACGGCCATGCCAACTTGGCTGGGCCAGGCTTTCAAGATAGCAAGGGCACTGATGGTATCTGAATGGCAACATTTAGTTGCACTAGTCTTTAACACAGCCATGCGTAGCCACTTATGAGGTGTGAAAATGGCACATATTGTGTTGGGTGTGGCCCCTATCACCTGTGGCCAGCATAAACTGACAGATAGTTCAAACTGCACCGCTAGTACTAGCAAGGTTGTGAAGTACTGTGAAGAAAAAAAAAGGCTGCATTGCTTTGCCTTTTGTGTGTCCTCCGAAACAGAAATAAGGCAACCGCCAATAGCACTAGGTGTGCAGGAAGTGCACATGAAGCAACGAAAGGTCTCAACTTGCCCAACCACACTAAACATGGCATGCGCACTCTGCCACTTTGACCACACCATGTTGAGCAAGCACACCTATGGCTCACTCATGCTAACCTGCTAACCCTACCCTTTCAGCTACAATCAAATCACGTACAACCAGGGTAACTAGAGGAGACATGCCCTCCTGATAATCTCAACACTGTAGTGATAAAAGTGTAGCCCGAAGAATATATTTATGCGAGCCATGATTTTTGGGTACAATCCTATTAGCAACAAGGTCAAATAATTGATGTTGATGATGTTGAATTGATCGAAATTTACTGTTTCTAACAGAACTAAAGTCAGCTTTAAAAAAAGCTTTCAGCATGGAATAGAATAAATGAGAAAACCGAATATAATGAAGTGAGCAAGAAATAAAAGCAATCATGCCTGTAGGGTCGCAACGAAAGTGGTGCTCATAGCGGAGCAAGTCGGTCACGAGGTCACTTGAACAGTTGCACCGTACTTTGCGGTCAACAAAGCGCAGATCGAGGAAGATCCTCCGAAACTCTCTATCCATTCCAGCCTCGTCCAAATGATAGCCCAGGTACCAGTAGAAGTAGCCACGGGCACAAGGCATTGTCCAAGGTTCCCAGCGCATTAGCAGCTTTTCCACAAACTGTCGGTGGAGGTCCTGTAGGTAGAAGAAAACCAGACTCATCGTCATCACCAGGCTGATTACGCCTGCTGAAGGGAAGGTCTTTCTTATGTAGCACCAATCAACCCGATCATGTGCTAGATGTGGCCACATCGTCTTCGCAGACCACTTTATATAGAAAATACGGGACCCCGGAAATACTTCGAATTAAGCGGGATTGTGTAATAACCAAGTTCGAATTTATGAGGTTTTACTGCATATGCACTTCACATAAAGATTATACTACTAATGAGATAGGTCAACAAGTCCTACAAACCTTCAGTGAGGCTGCCCTCCTTTTGAGGAAGTTGAGGTAGAGATCGTGGATGCCATAGGTGTAGGAGTTGTGCACAGGCTCCATGCGCACGAGCGACTTTTGCACCAATCCATGCATGGCATGCTCGACATTGGCAGCATCCATGTCCCACAACACCTCAAACACCTGCAGATGGTGCAATCATTTTTTTTACAGCTCAGACACCTCGAAAATAAAAGAGAGAGAGAAACAAAAAACTGAAAACGAGATTGGTGCAAGACACTAGCTTGCCAGTGGTGGGAGTTAAGAAAGAAGTGAGGAAATTTTCACACAACCTAGCAGAGGCCCATGAACATTGTCTCGCAACCCCAGATTTCAAATGGCAGATAAACTATGTGGAGCACTGGTAACCACTCACCAGACTGGGAATGTCGACATCTTCAAGGAAGAGAGCGAAGCTTTCGAAGTAGCCAAGCTGTTCCGAGTCTAGGCTGCTGACGATGAGCTCCAAAGCTGCATCGTAGCTGCTGCCTGAGCCATGCCTCACTCGACCTTTCCCACGCGCATTTTGAGTGTACGGCGTCCATTTCTCGGGCTGCCTAGCATTGGGACGCAACACAGCAGCTATGTTGGCCATCAAAAGGGGCAGCCCTGCAAACACAGAAGCATGCAAAAGGCTAGCATAGCGAAAAATCCCAAATATTGTGATAAAATCTGAAGTAAAGTAGCAAATTGGGCTAGTTATAACATACCTACTAAATCCAATAAGTGCAAAAAAAAAAAGGACACGAAAGCACAAAGAAGTGCATTCCTTGGGTTTCATGTCCCTTTTTTTTTTGTGCTGAGCGTGATGATTACCATATTTACTCACATAATATGCACACTTGCATAATAGGTGCACCCCCAGAAATCAGATTTTTTTTTATTTCAACACATATTGCCGCACTCCGAACTTGACCGTGATCAGGAAGTAGTTCTTTACTGTATTTGCACGTTTGCGATTGGACACCCTCTTACGTGAATTGAAGTGAGGAAAAAGAAAAGGAAAAAAAAATACAGCGGTAGCACTGTGCCAGCTTCACAGGCTAGCCAAGTGAGAAAAAAAAAGGGCGGTTTCCCGTCGGCAAAAGCGTCTTTATTACGATTGCTACCTCTTCCGCAAATTTTAAAGCTTTTAGCCTTTCCGACGCGAGCTAATTTCACCTTTGCTGCCACTACGCAGACTTGTACAAGTTCGGCAAACTTTTGTCACTGTTGATTTCCTGGTCGTGAACCTAAACATCGTATATCATGTATGCTGCTCTAGGATGAGTGCTTGAGTTGCTCGAGTATAATTTTTGTGATGCCCAATTTCCATGTGTGTAGACTTCTTCCAACAACATGCCGAACTGTTGAAGAGGCCTAATCGCTGTTGTTGCTTATAGGCGGTGGTCGCAAGCAATCAAGGTTGTGATTTTGTACTGAATCAACATAATCCTTTTCGACGCCTCTACATCAGTGGTTCTCAGCCATGAATGTGTTGGGGACCCCTCGTGGATTGGTGGAAGTGATGGGGGACCCCTTGAATTGGAGTGGGGGGAAGAGTGATACGTAGGTAAATTAACACATCCGAAGTGTAAAACGTGTGCCTTTTATTGCTACCAAAAAGATCAAATAAACGTGCCACATCACTTCATTTTGAACAGCTCATCAGGTGACACAGTGACGCTTGAAGAAAAATGCGAATGAGGGTTTCGTGGATCATAGAAATGGCTTTGCGAACACCCTAGGGTCCACGGTCCCCCATTTGAGAACCACTGCTCTACATGAAGGAAAGGGGGCTTGGGCGGCGCTTGTAACACTCGAATCATGGTTATTCGATTAAAATGTTTTGGTTATGAAGTGCGAGCCCATGATATCGAACGATCGGTATTATTCACCACACGAAATTTTGGCCGGAATAATGAACATTATGTAAAAGACCTGAAACGTAATCGGCGAATTGTACTGATGGCACTCTCTTTTCGTTGTCTCTTTATTGTTTATTTTTGCATTCATTTCAATAATAATGCGGGTCTTTTGCTGTTAATTTTGGAAATTTGAATGCACACCTCATTGCATGCCTCGATTCTAGGACACGCAAGACTGCATGCTTAAAACATGTTTTGTGCTAGTGTAGCCTATGAAGAAGCTTGTTGCAGCTGTAGTGCAGATATTCATGACTTCAGCAATGTATACACTATCAGCGGTCTATGCTATAGTTGGGAAATGAAGTTTTCAGAAATCTTATCCCGCCAACAGGCGCACCCCTAATTTAGAGCCGGATTTTCTGGAAAAAAAGAGCGCCTATGATGCGAGCAAATATGATATAAAATATTACTAAATTCACCCATAGGTAATTCCTTCGGTTTATAATGAACTTAGCATGTTTTGTAAAATATAGTTACCGAAGTAAAGCCATAGCAATCTGGGATTTTCAACGAGTGCCCAAGTTATCTCAATGTGCAATGATTATGCAAGTAAGTACAGAAGCTGTAAGGCAAGGCAAGCACAGAATCTGTAAAGGTATGTGTCGTACCTCGATGGGTAGCCCATATATCTTCAACCTCTCGAGGCAGCTCTTGTTCGGGCATTTTCAGGACACTTGCAAAAAGTTGCCGAGTCTCATCAAGGGTGAGCCCTTCGTCAATTTGAATGGAGTCCTTGTACATGTGTATGTCATTCACAACAGAGTCATCCCGTGTGGTCACAAGCAGAGGAACGCCCACCGAAAATGCCTCCACAACTCGAGAGGACCACACATCATCAAGCACCAGCAAGGCCTACGAAAACAGGAGACGTAAGCCAAATATTCACAAACAGTTAGGGCTACGACAAATGCTCTGACAGAACCAGTATAACAGCTAACAAGCATTCCTGAAGCCAAACAGCACACGGTATAAAAATCGTAAACAGCAAAATAGCAAGTGCTTGTATACTTACGTGGAGTCCAGCAAGAAAACCCGTAAAAAGAAAGAAAGAGAAGTAAATGTTAAAATGCAACTCTGCCAATTTCATAATGCAATCTGTTGTTGCCACCACAGAGTTTCCTGAATATACACTAGAAGGAACTAGTATGCCGCTAGTCTCTATGGGAGCTCCAACGCATAGCGCATCAGCGAGCATGGGCATTATGGGTATGACATGTAATTTGTGCAGTCTTCGTACTTTATGTTCGTTCTGGCTTTGCGTGGCTCGAAGCTGCTTAATCACGAAACAACAATTAGCAAATGCTTGGCAGTTGTGCTTCACCACCTCAATCTTCTAGGCTTACCACTTCAAATAGGGTCACGAAGTGAAAAATGGTTTGTTTTTTCCTTCGAAACAAAACTAGAACACAGCAATAAACGAAGCCAGAAGTGCATTTGCCGCCTGCAAGCACGAAGACAAGGCAAATTCATGTCATGATGTTACGGGGAATAAAGTATACACTGACGAGCGAATGCGTACTGGCGAATATACTGGCGAGCAAATGCGTACAACGCTGCTGCAGTCTGAGCACGTTCACGTTCAGCACTTCGTCGTCGTCATCCTCAGGCATCTACTTAGCCCGTGACATTACTCAATATTCTCATGATCACTGAACGATCGCAGTGCAAGTGTCCCCTCTAGACAATTTAGGAAACTCTATGGTTGCCATCACTATGCACCATACAATCTTTACTATAACAAAAACGAAGCAGAATTTGCTGTTATAACCACCATATAACAATATTATCAATTACTGTCTTTTGCTGCTGTGCCCCGTAAGCTGCGAAACATAAATGTGCTAAGCCTGCTTTGCTGCTTACAGTAACAAAATTTGCATAGGCAATGAGACAAAGTTTTTATCACATATAAAATTTCTGCATTTTATAATATATTCTAACTCGTTCTTCAGCCCTGAGTTCCACACTTGCTTGCTCCCTATACACTGTGTCTTAGTCTTCTGTGCATGCTGTTATTTCGAAATGACTATTGCATGCAAGATACAACATAGTCAGCACCTAGAGGAAAGCAGATATAACCCAGGGGGGTGGATGGCCTTTTGCGTCATCTGCTAGCCAAAACGTGTTCACAGGTGTGCGTACATCATGCACATCCTCAGGAGGCAACTTATTCAGTTGTGTTAGCACAGTGTAAAACGCTTGTACGTATGCCGATACAATATACGTGAGCATTTTGCCGTCCGAGACTTGCATGCACTCTAAATAAGTGAATGCATACATGTGTCAGTGCAGCACTTGGCGCAATCATTGTATCTTCCAATCCCTTCAATCATTTTAATGTATCACTTTGTCGTTCAAGAACTTCACAAAGTGCACTTTGTGTAAATCTAAACAAAAGAAAAACTAAATTTCGGAGTGCAAATGCAGAATTTCAGCGACGCCGTCTCGTAAAGGTGTTGGTAATTTTGCGATCCTTGTGATACAGGAAAGCCTGAGCTAGCGTCTGCCAAAGCTGCTTAGCAGTAAAAAAAGAAAAAAAAAAGTCAAGCCATGCATCGCTATAGAGTACACGTACTCACACTAACTGGAGTGCAGTAAGTTACACTTCATCTAATTACACGAAAACACAGGCTATTTTTGTGTAGCTGCTAGAGCAAGAATTAAATACTAGAGCCGTGCAAAAAGCAAAATTTTTGATGCGAGGCAACTAGAATACTCAAGTGTGAGCGCAAATCAAATCGAATATTTTTTTTTAATATTTCTTGAGCTATCTTTCAAATACTTTGAGGCAAAACTGCAGAAAAAAAATGTTGAGAAGGTTTCCCTAAGCACATTTTTATGAGATAAGAATGTGAAAGTGTTGATTTTTACTAGGTTGATGAAGCACTCGCAGTGTGATGTTTCATAGTTGTCCTATCAATACTGAGGCAATGAAGAGGCTGAATTGTATTTATGTACATGATTTGGTGCAACCAAAGTGTTGCCAACAAGACTTTATGTATGAAAGAAAAAGATGCTATTTTTCAGCCTCTCCTCCTTTCAACTTACGTGGAAGCCCAACTGATACGGCGAGCAATGTTTTATTTAAGCCTTTTAAGTTCCTCTCTGTGTGCAGCAAGGAACGCAGAAATACACCGGCATTGTGATTATCAGCCCATCTGCTTTTTTTAGGAAGTTCAAATAGCGAGAATTCCAGTACGAATCAAATTAAATAGCAAGCACTATTTGAATGACATTCAAAATTTTAAATATTTGTACACACCTAGTAAACACTCAATTGGCTCTATTGTGCTACACTATTTATATTATAAAATAAGCAGAATAAAAATTAAACACATAAAAACAAAGCAAAAAAATTCCACTCACCACTGTGCAAAACATCACTGTGATTAAAGGCTAATGTCGCATTGGGGTTGAGCTTCTTTAACACTTAGTTGGAACAGAAGCCAGCTTCGTGCAATAATGTGACAATGGAGGGCATATATCCCTTTCAGGCACGAATTATGATGCACTGCCTACAAATATGTCGAATTCACATAGCATAATTCCAAGGCACTCAATACTACACTACAAGAAAGAAAAATAGCTGATGTCTTGTATTGTGTTTCAGTCATTAATTGTAATTATTATACCTTATCAAATATGTCATTTTTTGCAGTCAGCCACTTCCCATTTTGACATGAAAAGAATGAAATTATAGGCTCCCATTGCGCAAGGAGTTTTTGGTTGTATTATTTTCGGGAAAAGAGTTATAGTACTTTTGATTTTGGTCCTGGAGTGCCGTAAATCAAACACCACGTCCCACATCGCAGTATCTTCACCGAAGAGATCGACTACAGTCAAACACAGCACATTGAAGTCAACACATACTGACAATGACAAAAGTTCATTTCATACAATGAGCAATGCATCTTGCTCTTTTTTCACGCGATGTTGACACAACTAGCATAAACAAGTTGTGTACCCAAATGTAACCACCGCCTCCGAAGGGGATATATATCACAGCTAGACTGCAGTCAATGTGCTTTATTTGTCGACAGTCGACTCAAACTGCCTACAACGAAGCGACGCTTAGCACACTAGTATACCCGACAGCGACCGCCTATCCACACTAATACCGGGACGGTGCTGCCACCTATAGCCCGATCTCACGGCAAATGTTTATACCTTTCTCAACATGCCAGTTCATAGATTGATTGATTTGTGCGGTTTAATGTCCCAAAACAATGATATGATTATGAGAGACGCTGCAGTGGAGGGCTCCAGGAAATTTCAACCACTTGGGGTTCTTTAACGTGCACTCAATATCTGAGCACACGGGCCTGCAGCTTTTTCCCCTCCATCGAAAATACAGCCGCCGCAGCTGTTATTCGATCCCACAACCTACGGGTCGACAGCAGAGTACCTTAGCCACTGAACCACCGCAGTGGGGTATCCCAGTTCATAATTTCAACCTTGAGCAACATTTGCAGATCCACATATTTGCTACTCACTCTGGGGTATTTCAGACTCCAACGCTTCAGACGACAGGTCGCCATTTCAACAGTGCCAACGTCCTTGTGCGAGTCATAGTTCAGGCGGTCGAGCTGAAGATGCATCTTGTGCAGCACGTCGCTCGGCTCACGCAGTTTGCCAATCGGTATCCAGTGGACGCCATCAGGAAAGCATTCCTGCAGCAGCCTGTAGTCTCTCAAAGCCTCTGCCGCTAGGATTGACTTGCCACAGCCTATCATGCCATGCAGAAGCACCGATCCATTGCGACGGTGCTCGCTGTTGGCCAGAGAGTGCAATGCCTCTCTGATCTTCAGCACAGTCTTTTTTCGCTTCACCAGATGCACAGGCTGAAACGGTACTCCCCCATGCTGAAGTGCCTGTAAAGGTTGAGTGAATAAATGCGAAAATTCCACGGAACTTGCTGCTTCTTGAAGAATGTGCTCAACTGTCACAAGAAATTGTCACAGCAACACCGCCAGTGTCTGATAATTTATTGTCCCGTCAATTGTCTGCTTAGAATAAAAGTTCGCTTTCGATAATGGAGTAAAATTGACATGCTCAGTTCATGGCTTTCAGTGTTTGTGTTCCAACCTCAAAGAATGATGCACCTGATGCAACAACTCTGTACATCCTATAGACTAGCACTAATGTAACTAGTCTTAAAAAGATGGTGACCTCACCTTTTGCACCTCAACATACTCTTGCCTGATGGCACTATGCTCCATTCGAAGCTTCTGTGCAATCCACACATAGCCATTGTCTCGTTCCAAGGCGTCAATGAACACCTTGTAGCCAGCTTCACCTTTGCCACATATGGCATCGAGAAGTCGCCTGACCCTGTTTTCAACTGAATCCTGCAATATGTGTAAATAAACATTTAATGAAGCTATGGTGTTATTTATTTAGTGCATCCTCAGGGCCCAATGGCATTACATAGGGGAGTGAGAATACATAAAGAATACAATAGAAACAGCAAACAAAAAAGGTAAAAAAGATCACACAAGGACAAAGTAGTGGCATAGCTAGACAGCAAGACAATGACTTGAAATATGAGTGGTGATACATTAGAACACTTTTATAACAGTAATTAAAAAATTGTGTACTTGCAGGCATAGATAAATTCATAGAACAACTGTATTACAAAATAGGTCCTCTGCAACTAGGCATATTAGTTATGCTTGTCACCTATGGTAAGTCTGAGAAAGCATTCCCTAAAATTAAATTAATCCTAAGGAAACTAAACCCTTGCAACGTTTAATAATATAGCACAAGTTCTGACCTCATAGTTTAATATCAGCAAAATGCAACGATATCAGTGATACGACAATCAGTTGCACACTGGCTTTTTATAGACATACAATCAAACAGATAAGACTGCATTGGTACATGCATATTTAAATCAGCATTTGTACATTCTATACCAAATCTAATTACTTTGCATCTGTACTAGGCTCGATGTTGTGTGGTTAACGCTAGCATGATATTGTAAAAAGATATGGCAACGATGAACGGGCGCAGTAAGCAACTTAACAAAACGTAGGTAAAGCACAAATAGCTGATGTACACCAGTGCAGTAGGACCTGTATGCAAGCTCCTCCCCCTAACAAGTTTCCTAAAATTAACTAGAAAGACTCTAGTGCTGCGATGGTTCAGCGAACCATGAGAATGATGAATGGTACACGTCTAGTCTTCGTGCTTGCAGGCTTCTAACCCACTTGCAGAATTGTTTACTGTTTTGATTTCACATAAAAGAACGAACCGAGTGAGCTTCGTGACCCTAATTTGAATCTACGAGCCTAAAAGGTTGAGATGGTGAGGTGCAACTGCTGAACATTTGCTGATTTCCGTTTCGAGACAAAACAGTTCTAAGCTCCGGCGAAGCCAAACGGAGCCAAAAGTATGAAGACTAGGCAATTTTGTGTACTACCAGTCATTTCCATGCTCCCCAGCATCATGCGTTGCAGCTCCCATAGACACTAGTGCCAGGGTTCCATCTAGCGTATCTATTAAAAAATCTTTGTCCCCACTGACCGCCCCACGCACACACTTCTACCAACTTGAAAAATCAACTGATCTATATCTTTCTCTCTATCTCACACAGACACACAACAAAAGTGCGTGGTGCTTTATGTTCTGGATATGTATGGCTTTTTGCAGTGGCATAAGCAGAAATTCATTTCAGTGGGGGCATGCCCTAGATCATCAGCATGGGCCGGGCAGAAAAGTGTGATGTGTCACATTTTGCTGTGTATCCCATGGCAGAAAATTTCGGGAGGAGCACATGCCAGGTGTGCCACCCCCCCCCCCCCCTCCCCCTGCTACGCCTCTTACCTTTTAAATAACTTTTTGTTCCATTTTGATATCATATGCTTTGCAATTGTGCCTTTGCTTTCTTTTACTAAACTTAATTTACACGCCTTAAAACATCAAACTTTTCATTCTTTGTCATCACCGAGGACTAATCCTATTTTTTCCTGCTGGTATGAAAGTGCAAGTGTCCACTGGCACATGTATTCATGCTGCCTGTGACCAGAGGCATTGCTCATTTACTTTATAAGAAAAGGAAGGAGAAGCCAATTGTAGACTGTAGGCGCAATTGTGGATAAGGTAAATACAGACAATCTTACAATCAGAATATCAAAGTTTATACATAGTTCATACCAGCTGCGTGCAATGCTAGTTCAGAACAATATACAACCAGTTATATGAGCTCTCCAAGGGCTGCAGTCAGGGGATAAGCATCTACGTCCTCAAATATAGCAAACACTTTTGCCTAGCTTTTTTTTTTCCCCTTCAAGTGGCTTTGCTATAAGCTCACTACTACTACCAAGTGCAGATGAAACTGAACTGAATGTAATTGTACTGGAGTTTATTTTCAAAACGTTACTATGAATCCATGGGCTCACACAAGAAAATATATTCCCTGCTGCAGACGTTGAAAACATGCTAAAATGCGACAGTGAACATGGCGTAACCATTTTCTGCACCTGTTTCAGGATATCCTCACACTCTTCCTTCGTGAAGATGCCAGATTCTTCAATGTGGGGAAGCACGAACTTGGCCTCCACATCAGCCACTATGGCATCCCGATTTTTCGCCAGGCATATCTTCTCCGCAGTGTCCAACTCGTGCATTGCGCTTCCACGTTCTATATCAACTGAAGACAGAAAAGCGAACACAGTAACCTAGTCATCCAAACAATATTTTTTAATCAACTCTTTTTCAGAGTCAGTAGCATACAAAGTTAATATGATGGATGTATATCGTTGCATCCAGTTGTCATGTGATTCATAGAAGCAAGTCACAAAGCCAACATCAGCACTTGTATAGATTTTTTTAATGCCATATTTTTTCAAGTATCTCAACAAACTTCCCAACACTACCATCATTGTTACACAACAAGAGGGACAAACTGATATCTGAGCTTGTAGAAATTAGTTTGTCGCTCAATGTAGCTCAAGGATTATACTGGAAGGTACTCAGTGACATAACCAACTATAAAGAAAGGAAACGTTTTCCTTGCTTTACAGGGAAAACCTATGGTAAGCTTCATACCTAAAGCAGTGTGTGCGCCTGGGGGGGGGGGGGGGGCATTAACACTAATACTCGTGTTGCACATTCAAATATTTAAGGCAGCCAACCCCCACCCCACCCCTTTATGTGAATGTGTGCATACACCATGAACACAGCTTTGCAAATGTTTGTAATCACAACTGCACCCATCAGAGATTTACAGATGAAAGCAAAGGTATAAATTTTTTAGCAGTGATAAAGCACTATTAAAAGCAAATATACTACAAGCCTTGCATTAAAGATTAGGCCTGATAGGGCCTGGACACATTGAAAACAATATAAACATGTATATCAGTTTAAGTAAACAATTGTTCACGAATATAAATTCATTATTAGGAGGCAGAAATGGAAGATAAAGCTCCATTTTTGCATTTCCCACAAAAATCTTAAGACCTCAATGTCAGTGCCATGCCACATATTTCAATGCAATTTTTCATATTCTGGTCATGTTGTCTAAACAATATCTCCTAAAACTTGCTGTGTTAGTTCTGTGGCTTGTTTAAAACTCACCATCATTCATTTTTCACATTAAATAATTATGTAAGGCTTAACATAGGCTGTCAAGATCTATCATGGCGGGACAAGTGTGAGCCTCAAGGCTGCATACCACCTGTATTTTCTTTCTGCACAATGCTTGGCTAACCAAGCAGCCAGAGTGTTTGTGGTCTGGTGAAAGGTTAATTTACTAGCACCAGTGCACCCTTTCTCTTTTGTGTCTCTAACCCAAAGGTTGTGCAGAGGCATATGCCTCATGTACTTTTACAGTGGAAGCTGTTATGAAACCATAACAAGGGCCATTTTTGGCACTTCAGTTGTCCGATGTGTCCAGTGTCCGTAACCACTATCACAAGAAATTAAAAAAGAAAATTAAATAAAAAATATCCAGGATAGAATGAGATTCAAACCAAGGTTCTCTGGGTGGCAGCCCAGTATTTTACCACTGAGCTACACAGGTGCTTGAAACTCCACTGCAAATTGACCCTATGCAGGCTTCTTGTCAGGAAAGGAATCGCATTAACATGTGTAATAAAGTGTTTTAGAACAGTGAAGTTATGAAACAGTTTGTAAAGTGTTTTAGAACTTCACTGTGTAAAAAAGGTGTCTTAGAACAGTGAAGTAACCACCACGCATCACACAATGTGAATTGCGGAACTAATGGGTTGTTGAATACTCCAACCCATTACAAAAGCCACAGCACAATTATTCAATGTCGTCAGCTACAGGATAACAAGAAAGCGCCAGGCCTGCATGGAATGCACAGCGCAATCAAAGCTAAAGCTCAAAAGCGCCCTTTCTAGAGCTTCTTTAAAACTAACTTTGGGTAACTACATCCAGCACACTTGCAGGGTACCCACTATTCCATATATCATAATAATTGTTGCATAGCAGAGGGGCATGCTTCTTTGGCCCTTCACATGTGGCTCGTCCCCATTACAGAAGATTTGCCATTAAATCACCAGTTTATGTAAAGCAAAAAGTTTCCTTTAAGCCATTCTTCGAAGAAGTGTGGTGCCCACGACACACTTGTATGGAATTATGTGCACTCTGTTGACGCTGCGGCTGACAACAATGAAGAATTATGCCCGAGGCTTTTGTAATAGGCTGGACCATTTGACAGCCCCCCTCATTATGCAATTTGCATTGTGCGACACCTAGATGTTTGTTTGCTGGTGTAAAATGCTTTATTACACATATTGACACGATTCCTTACTGGCCCAACATGAAGCCCACCTAGGGTTGTTTCGCAACAGAGTTCCGAGCACAGGCGTAGCTCGGTAGTTGAATACTGGGCTGCCGTACAGAGGTCCCGAATGCGAATCCCATTCTATCTTCAGTCATTTTTATATATATAGTTATTTCTTATTTTGCGCCATAGTGGTTACGGACATTGACGGCGGCAGAAAACTACAGCGTCGGAAACAACCCTTGTTGTGATATCGTAACTGAGCGCACATGATACCTTACAAGTGTGTAACACTTCTCTGAAGATGAGTAATGGCATAGTGGATGGTTCACTACTACACAAAAATTATGACTTATGGCGAAGTGGGTACTAAACTCGAAGAGAGCCACCAAAACACCCAGACAGAAAAAACAGAGGCATAAGCAGAAAAAGTAGTTGCAGTAGTTGCTACATGTGTTTAAAAAAGGCTACAGAAAGGTCATTCTTTGAGCTTTCGCTCTGACTGGGCTGCGTGTTCTACGCAGGACTGCAATGTGTTATGTTAAAGGCCAACTCCGGCAATTTTTTGACCATGTCAAGCTTACGGTGTTTCTATATTCCTGAGATGTTCTTGTCACGAGCCTAATAGCTGAAATGCTTGGAAAATTTGAAAAAAATTTTTAGTAAGCAAGCATGTGCAATACCTAAACCGAAACCCTACCGAGCACCCTGTCTGCGTATAACGTATTGTTTGGTAAAGCCGTAGGCCGTATACTGGTTCTGCCAGCACGGAGTATGAAAACTGTGAAAGCCAATCCAACAAAGCACCGGCCAAACACCACAGAGGAAGGAAAAAAGCATTGCTGTGCTATAACCGTGCCAAACACCGCCGCTGTCACCTTGTGGAAAGCACAATAAATGCTGTAGCGGCCAAAGTAGCGATGCCATCGGCTGCATCACTTGCATTGACATGCCAAACATGACGTCACACAGACAATGTTGCCAATATTTCTGGCAAGGGAGGTGAGCTTTTCGAGGTAATCTTTAAAATTTATTTGCAAACGATCAGTGCATCACTCAAACACGTGATTTGGCATAAAGGACGAAAATGCGCCAAGGAACATACCCAGCGAATTTCATGGAGATTCACTGACCTCGAAAAATCGCCGGAGTTGGCCTTTAAGCCTCGCACACCTGACATGCATCGTGTTAGCACATATAAAACGAGTGAAAAGCTAGCATGATTAATTTACAAACACACACACACAAGCACGTGTGCAAAAGCATTTATAGCACATCTTGTTCTTGTTTTTTGGCAACAGCACAGTGCATAAATCATTACAGCTAGGCTGAAATGCAAACACCTTATCAGCTGGATACACTGTGTGAGATATTAATACACCAGTGTGACAAATACTAAGCCAACATGTCACATGTTCCTGAAATATTATGGAATAATGATAAGAAGGAGACCATATCCATTATTCCAACCAGCTCTGTGCAATCATTATTAGGACGCCAGGACCAGGTGTTAGGTGAATGGCAAATGTATACTAGTGTAACAGCTTTCTATACAACTTGTGTCACACTGGCACATTATAAGCCAATAAATAGGAAGCCCAAACGTAATTTTTGTAGAGTCAAAGAAGTTGTTGAACACAATTATATGGAGAGAACTGGGGACTATCAGAATGGGGTTGCTGACGTACTGTGAATCAAAGAATGGGCTGAATAAAGATATGTGTGCCTTCCTAATACTTAAGGGCCACATGGAACGTCTACATGCTTAAAAATATTGTTCTACACTGTACTGCGCCGACTCGAACAAACCAATATCTTAGTACTACTCGGAATGAAACAAATAGCAGCATATGTCTTGAGGATTGAGTTAAACAACAGAGATCATGGGTGTGACGCACTGTCTTTTTAATGAAGATATAGCCAAAGCAAGTAGTAATGCTGTCGATATATGCATTCGATCAGCTTGCAGTCTCTATGAATACACCGCGTATGTGCTACACACACCATGACACACACACAAACAAAAACAAAACGGCGAGAAAAAGGCCGTGACAATGCCCTTGCACCGGAAAACACTTGGTGAGCGATTGCGTTCCTGACCCGCAGTCCTGTAACCTCACAACAAAAATTATAGAAAAAAAAAGTACCAGCCATTCGTTTGCCAGCCTTGTTGGTTCTCCGCAGGTATTGCCGTGACAAAACAGTGTCCTGTATTGTTTATATTGTTTTACACCTTGAACCTAATAAGCACGATAACTTTCCGATAGTATTATCGTATGTTACCTCTATCAGGAATAACGGACGTCAAATGTCAGAGTGTGCGAGCATGTTTTCCCACCTACGCAAAAACAAAAAAATTTTATACGAGGCCTGAAAACAAGTAGAAACGGTCACAACAAAGACTTCGGACGTAACGTCAATCTCGATGATACAGTAAGTTGTTGCGCGACCAAAAATGTTTGCACTGAAGTGAAACTTGAACAAGTCGGTGTCGCGGCGATGACGAAATTCTCCAGAATGCACGCGTGCATTGCAGCGGTGTGAGAGCTTTGTTTTTGTAGCAACGAGCGACACCACAGCGACCACACAGCAACCATTGGCCCCCTGTGGTCAGTGAATCACTCCAATCAAAAGAGGGCCAAGGCCAACTTCGAAAAACCGCGGTTTCCCAAAGGAGATGGGCAGGAGAGAAAGACATTTCTATAAACTCTGTGCGCTACTGACAGTGAGAGGGAAATACGCGGATTTAACGAAGCCCTTTAAACCATTGAAACTCCTTAGTCAGCTGAAAGAACACAGGAGAAGAGAGAGGGATCAAAGGGCAAGAATGGCTTTCATCAGTTTCACAGTGGAGCGTAATACCTCCTGAAAAACAACTTTGAAGAACATGGATAACTTACTTGTTTTCATAGATGAACCACTGCCGAGGTGAGAAGTAAGGTGCTTCCTTGAATTCTCATATTCTCCCACTCTTATTTAAACAACGCTTAGCAGGGGCTCTAAACACGTCTCAACATGTGCAGAACAAGCAGCTAACTACACGGAGACTGAGTACAGGGTACGGAGCACGGATTGCTGGTCGGTGTGTTAACGGTAGAGCTACAGAACACCTACCAGTTGGTAGGACGGTAGATACATGTGGATACACCAGTCGCTGTACCCACGGCGAAGCCAGGCCAGCCCGGCAGCGTTCCGAAATCCGCACATCAAACTTTTGCAGAACAGCAAACCAACGCGTCACCTAGGAGCTATGATAGAAAACACACTGCATCGTTTCGATCGCTGCAGTCTCCGCTGAATACCAAGGGGTAGCTGGTTTTAGCAGAGAACTATAGTAAAAATTATATGCCAGATTTAACCTTCGCTGTCATTGCATCAGATGAACTTGGAGAGTTCAATATTGGAGGAAGGCTGTATCGTTTGAACAGTTGTGCAGCGCAACCGTAAACGCAACACGTCAAAATGCCGTCTATTAGCTTGTGTTTTTCACGTACAGGTAGCGCTACAACCGGTAAACTATAAAAAAATTTTTGAAATAGCGTTGTACAAAATTATGATCGCAACTTAAGGTGGCGGTCCCACTCCAGTGGCAAGAGCTCGACATTTTAGTCGTTGTTTACTGGCTCACTGTGCTTGCTCTGCTCAATGGAAGAATATGAGTTCTATTGCATTAGAAAGTTTACGTTCTCCGCTTTCTAATGACAACTAGTATTTTCGCCTAGTCTGGAGTGTTATTTCATGGCAATTAAAACAGTGTGAGCAAAAAACAGCGTTTTTGCTGTACAAGCCTCCGTTGTACTGCCAGTGCAGCAAAACTGTCCAAGATAACAAAATTAAATTTGCTGAGCCTTTTAACGAAGCGTTATGCAAGGTTTCTATGAAGAGATATTGCCAGTAAAGCAATTAGAAATTGATGCACGCTCTAATAAAAATGGGCAAAAGAATGAAAGTTTATGAGTAAATAACTTTTTTTCTATTTTGTGCAGAACAATAATATTGAATGGGTTTCCAGGCTACAATGTACATTATGTGTACGCGAAGTTGTTTTGTGTTCTGATGAACAGTTCTTGAATTATTACTCCTTCAATACGGCAATTTATGGCGCTACTTGGTCAGGCATTACTGACGAAGGGACAAAACTATCCAAGCTGAAACTCTGAAATCTTCAATAATAAATCAGCAAGCCTTTCCCTGGGTTTCTACGAAGAGAAAATTGTCGTAAGTTAATTAGAAAATTTGTAGGACAGCAGTGAATTTAGCTCATTTTTCTGCTTGCCAGGTTCGTGCAAATTCCCTTTTTTTTGTCTTTTGTAGGCTAATTCACCACAAGTATTGCACATTAGCAGGACCATGTAGTGTCTTGTAATCACCAGTACTCACTAACTTTACGAAGCGGTGCTTGAAACAAAAGATTTTTCAAAAATATTAAAGCTCGCAAACACTTTTTGTTGGTGGCGCCATCTGTCAAAAAAAACATCAAGTTGTTTCGCGTCAGTTCCGACGTTCGTCAAAAGTGGCGCGTCTAAACATACCTAAGCCGCCAAAACACGGATGTACTTCTTTAGACTTCACTGGCTAAATCCTGCTGAAAAAGAAAGAAAGAGAAGGACAGAGAGAAAGGAAGAAGGGAATAAAGCGTGTTGCACTGTACATCAGGAATGCATAGCCAGCAGGTTAGGCTATTGTGCCAAAGATTCCAGGAATTGCTTGGTTGCTCGCCTTTGTACTCAGGTGACTGTAGAAGCGTTTTTGAAGGACACAAAGAACTGGACCTTGCCTCCCCATATTTTTGAAGTCCGTAGGACATTATCTGAAGCGCGCTTTCCCATCGCAGGGAGGTGACGAGTGTCTGGCAGTGTATGTGTGTTTGAATATTTCACGTGAAGCCGGTTGAACTAGGATAACAATGGACTTTTTTTCGGGAGACTAGCCTGCGCATGCGAAGTTGTGCAAGTGGTGGTGACTTGACGCCATGTTTTGGGGGAGTAACAGAGCCAAACAGCTTCTATAAACGTTGCACAGAGCGGCGACAGGTGCGAACTGAAGGGCACCTGGCGTCGTTTGCAAATTATCCGGAAAAATACCAGGCCTACGAGATTTTTCTACCGGGCCGTGGCGGATAACTTCGGAGGCCACGGACTCCCAGTTTCGAGTTCGGTGATCTCCACTGGAGGCGCTGTTCGGACCTGAAAAAGGCCCATTGACTCTGACGATTTGAGGCTGATCCCTTTGTATCGGGCGGGCAAGATTAATTCGCCCTAACCAGAGAACAAAAAAAAAACACCTATCAAGTAAATAAACTAAAACACTCCACAGGCGTACACACCCCGTACCAGTTCGTATAGTTAGTCTGCACGCCTTCAATTTTTGTCCACCTCTGCATCGCGCGCCACCACTGCAACAGCCTTGTTGGATGGATGGATGATATGAGCGTCCCCGTTATAATGGGGTGGTGACAAGTGTGCCACCTGGCTCGACAAAAAAATATCTCTTTTTTTCTTTTTTTTTATGTTGGCCTTTGCAAAATAGTGAGCGACCCCTGGCCAATACCCTCTAGACTTGCTGAGGCCTCTTGACGTCATCACACTACGACGGGAGCGGATGCCGCATTCTCAGAAATGCCCATTGCTACGCGCTCGTTGTGTACTCAACGGCGCGCTGCGAATCCATTCGTTCATGCTGTCTCCCGTTTCCCGAAAGCGCCGACAAGGCAACTCCGTCGTAGAGGGTGTTGCACCTGGCGCCCACTTTGCAAACACCTGTAAAACTTCTGCTTCCCTGACTGCTTTTCTCGCTCTAAACGTGTTCACCACTCCACATTCATACGAAGGGGCAGGATCAGCACCAAGACTTCTCAAAGCGTACTTCAGGAATGTCACGCCTCATTGTAAGTTTCCTCTTCCACTGAGAGAAAGGAGAAAACGAAAGAAAGGAAAGACAGGGATTAGTGGTAAATGGGAAAAAAATTATTTGTCTGCTAGTCTGTGGTTGAGGCTTTCGTGTGGAAAACAAGCTTACTCGCATATGCGCAGTAACTCTTTTGCAAGCCGTTAGTTAGCGAGCCATATTTCCCCGACTGCAGCGAAAAGTGCGGATGGCTGCGTGAACTCTAGCGTTCCCAGCCATCCGTTCTGTTTATTTATCTCTTACTTTACGTTGCTGCTATCTAGACAGCTGAAAATAATGCACATTGCCCAATGTTGCCCGACTTTGCCATTAGCAGTCAACCCGCGGGATGAAATTATAATTTTAGTACAAGAACAATCGCTTCCATGTGCCTTATTGGACAGCCCCTTGGAAAAGCTGAGCTAGTTTTCGGGTGTCGACTCTAGGTCTATACAGATAGGTTGGGTTTCGCTGAGAAATAGCCCTTACGCATTTTATTATTCAATACTCCCAAAAGGACGCAATTCGCATTTGTGTTACGACTTGCGCTCTTCGGTGCGGTGCTAGGAGGACTCGTTTTATAGATGAAAAAATTGTCTCTCATATGTTTCGCTAAAGCTGAGCAGCGCATTCGTGTATACGCCTTGTGCACCGCCTATAGAGGCGCCACTGATAGCCACCTGCGCCCCATACATCTGTTTACAGCTGCGCCCCATACATCTGTTTTGGGATGCATGAGGCTCATAGTGTTCTCGCTAGCAAAAAGGCAAAGCCCTTCTGTCGTTCATGCATACAAAATCACCATTTTTGGCTCACTGCAAGGCACGGAAAAGGGGCTTTGTGTAATGATAGCCAGGAAGTAGTGGAAAGGAGTTTCCCGGGTAGCTTCTGAATGTAGCGACATAAGTATCAAGCGGACCATGCGCGACACCCACGCTACATTCACAGTCGAACCAAAGCTGCTGACAGTGGAGAAATCTAAAATTACAATGCACGTGCACAAGGTCGGCGTTGTTCCACGCGACCCAACACTGCCGGTATTCAGGGCCACTGAAGAACTTCCTCCAGAACTACTCTTTTTCTACTCTTTTTCTTTCTACTCTTTTTTAGTGAGGAAGAGAAAGAGTCCGTTCAGAAACCAAACCAATATTTCCTGCAACCCTTGCGGCAGCGCGGTTCAGCGCTCTATTGTAAATAGTTATAGGTCACCAGGAGAGAGTGAAGCACCTCTTTTCCGGACAGTTGCACGGGAGTACAAAGGCTCTCGGGTCCGTGCCTTTTTTTTGTTGCTGTTGTTGTTATTGGGGAGCGGGGGGGGGGGAGGGCGTCACGCACATTTGAAACGTTTCAAAGGAGATATGGGAGCAGCTGCACCCCCGAAAAGAATGGATTAGTTCCAGCAGGAACAGGCTCTTCGCCACTGCATGCTACGCCACTGCATGTTCCAAACGTGACTTAGTGGCGTCTTCTGGTGGCTCAAGCAGAAACTACTCGCAAGATGGCGACGGTGGTACCGTCACCTTAAGGTTGGTGCAAAGTCAGTAGCGGTTACTTTAGGTTGGTGAAGTTTTAGTCGGTTTTAGGGACTTTACGTTGGTGTAAAGCCCCTTGATCTTGCTAGAGGCTTTAAGTTGGTGTCAAAGTTTCGTTGGTGTAGTTTTGTTGCCGTCTGATCGCCGCGGTCGTGTGTGCTGTGTCGCCAAGGTGGCAACAGATGCTCCCTGCATCAAATTTGTTGGATTTGGTCAGCGGATTTAAGTGTCGACTTCGTAAATGTGTAACCTAATGAACTGGTTCATTTCATTGCAGTAAAGTTTATATGATACGTAATGTAGTCTGGCATGCCGCAAGCGTCTTTTAATTAAAGAAAGAACGACCAAACTTTTTGAAAAACGTTAAGTAGTTTAAATGCGCTTCCTAGAAAGTTTTGCCGTCTCTTCCTTGGAGTTGTTCCAACCAACAATAGAGTTACGAAACTCTATGCAGCCAACGTTTTTACATCGTGAAAGATGTATCTGAATGCGATTATGGCGCGTATGTGGCATGTTTGCCGTGGGCGGGGAGAATTAGTGCCGGGGCTTTTTTTTTTTTTTGGAAAAGCTCGTTTTTATCTGTTGTATCCATCAAGACACACGCTGCTTCCTGTTCTTACACCGTGCCCAGAGCGCAGCCAAAACACCATCGGGGCTATGCGCATGACCACCCACAATCAATCTCCACTGAATAAAGACAAAAAAAAGTGGCTAGAAATCATTAGCAGTTTATGTTTTTATTTATTGCTATTCAGGCCACTTTATATATTTATTACAGGCCGCATACACCATAAGATAATGGACTGATAATTAACATTTAATACTAGACACTTCGTTTGTACTGAAGATGCTGCAACGTCAGCGTTTGTACTCCCGCGCGCCCGTGCCCACAAGGCGGCGTTTTTTTTTTTCGTCTTTTCTGCGAAAAAGCTGGAAAACATTTGACATCTTCTCTACTACAGCTCTTGCTCGCGCTCCTAAAAGTGGGCAGCAGGCAGAATTAATTGTTACTCGGGGCTGTGCTCATGGCACGGCCACCCGGCCACAATAGCACAACTGCCGATGCTACAACATCAGCCTTGTACTCCCGCGCCCCAGGCCTCATGGCAGTGGTTTTTATCTTCTCGTGCTCGCTCTGGATTAGCCACAGAAGTGGACACTGTCGGAAACGACCGCGTTGAACGGCCCACGCAATACAACACTAAGAACACGATCAAATGCAAAGCTTTTGATTTTCATGCAGTACCCGCCGTGTTCCTGGTACTCGAGCCGAGCCTTGCAGGAGTTTTCGAATTGGGGCCCCAATCGTTTTGGTGCCCCCTTCCTTCCCCCCCAAATAGCGCAGAGGCCACAGGTTCAGATACTAGATCCTGCCGGTGGCAAGTTATCTTTTCGTACACTTTTATTTCTTCATAACCTTCCTTACACAACTCTTCACGACAGGGAAATAAAAAAAAAAAACGCTGCCATGACGGGCTGCGCGCGGAGTACAAAGGCTAATGACACCACAGCCTCCACAGTGCATTTTTTGAGGGGTCACGCCAATTTGCGCAGCCCAGGGAGCCATGTTTGAAAATGTCTGTACTTTCCTTAGCATTATTAGAGAGGCTAGCATTATTGCCACTTAGATTCAACAATATTGTGTGTAACAAAGAAAAAGAGCCCTTAAATTTACAGTTTGCCTTCATTCCTAGCGAGGATTTCGTTCTGGCAGACTTGATGCCTTCAGCTCATTAACTTTGTGCTTCAGGTAGTATGCGAGGTAAGCTCGAGAGATTGTCGAGCCAAAGAATAACATTTCTATTGAACCGAATTTGCATATGTTCTGCTAACACCTAAACACACACACGTGCACGACAGAATATTTCGTTTATCCACCAAACTTCGCTTGTATGCGAGTGTACAATATATTGACATATACATTTTTACTATACCCTGACGGCTAAAGGCACTCCCAAGTGTCTAATGACAAAGGTGCAACACAGGCAGACATGCAGGCCAATCGTAACCTTAGAAGGACTTACTAACATACTCATCATGCAACTTAAGCTGATAAATAAAAAGATGATGGTCATAAACCAGATTTATTGATTGATACGTGGAGTTTAAAGTCCCAAAACGATCATATGACTACGAGAGACACCGTATCGGAGGGCTCCGAAAATTTCGATCACCTGGGGTTCTTTGACATGCCCGCAAATCTGAGCACCGGGGCCCACAGCATTTTCGCCTCCATCGAAAATGCAGCAGCCACAGCCGGGATTCGATCCCGCCACTTGCAGGTCAGCAGCAGAGTAGTTTTGCCACTAGACCACTGCGGCGGGGTGACTTTAGGAGCCTTAAATAACGGATTAGTATGCAGAGGTACTCTTTATTTGCAGGAAATGGTTTGTTTCAAGAAGGACTGTATACTGCTAGATAATGGACACGATGGACTTTCTTTTATTGGCCATCACATGACAGCAAATCAATCAATATAAACTGCACCCTGGAAAAGACAAAGGGTTCATTTTATTTTGAAGCAAGCACATTATTCGCTCCAAGACTCATTTTGCAATTGGTGACGAAACCGCACACTGCATAGATGCAGTCACATGGCGACTGCGTTTCCCTCACCCAGCATGATTGTTCTGGAGATTGCTAGCCATGGGAATAGTCGTTTGAAATAAAGTTGTACACGAGGCAAGTACAAGTACACCACATGTCACTGAGAAGGCAAAGACTTTTGCTGTAAAGGAGCAAACGTAGGTTTACAAACCCAAGGTTGGTATGGCAAGCAGGCTGCACACAGACTGTACAAGCTTTTGGCTTAGTAGGCTTAGACCCACACTTCAGTCCAGAGTACCCTAGCAGCACAACACAGCATAAAATGTAATGAGAGAGCAGCTACCATGTTAAAGGTGTCAGATACCATACATGACTTGTGCGTATACTTTGTTGCCCACATCGAATACCACTTTGTCCAGCTGTGTATCACTTGAGTGTGCTATATTGAAGTGCAGACGCACATTACAATACTGATGCACAAGCAGCTGAAGTGCCAGAATATTGGAAATAGATCCAGCTTTCCTGTTCGAGTTTACGCCAAATAGGCGCAGATCGACACTTCAGTCCAGAGTACCCTAGCAGCACAACACAGCATAGAATGTAACGAGAGAGCAGCTACCATGTAAAAGGTGTCAGATACCATACATGACTTGTGCGTCTACTTTGCTGCCCACATTGAATACCACTTTGTACAGCTGTGTATTACTTGAGTGTGCTAGATTCAAGTGCCAGAATATTGGAAATCTATCCGGCTTTTTTGCTCTTCGAGTTTATGCCGAACGTGAGCACAAGAAGTACGAAGCAATTGAGATAGACACGGGCATCCATGTGAAAATCACTTCATCTGTACTCAAAGACAAAAGTTTTCATTTCACAGTGAAGTCAAAGAAAAGAGGAAAATATGTGAAGACAGACAGTTGTGCAACCATATCTTGGCTTGACAATTAACTACATCCTCCCTTTCATAATAAGAACCCTGTACAATGGCTGATACGGTGACATGAATCCCATCTTGGCTGCTTTTTCAGGCGCAGCTGTTATGTTTGCGAATTTTACATCTCAATACTCTCACACTGGACTTGAGAAAACAGTTTCATGCCATAGCTGCTGCACCAAGACCAGCAAAACATATCAGGTGACAATCAGCACAATGAATAGGTGGCCACCAACGTCACAAGAATGGTGGCAGGTCAATGTTTTACTGTGTTACGATGATGCACTGTTCAATAGAGAGTCGTTTTCTGGGGGCGAGAATTCCTGTAGCCTCTTCCAACGAATAAGGTGCTACCCCAATGTTTTAATTACAGCCCGAGAATGTTATTGTTGACTGTTACAAACCATGCCCAGCAACAAAGATAAAAATACAAATGCAAAATCAGCAGATCTTGTGCAATGCCTACTGCAAGAGTCAAAGCAACAGGATCTTGTAGTAGCTCATAAAAATAGCACTCTTCTACAGACCTTTTTTCTAAATGCCGATAAATGCCAAAATAAACAAGACAGTGCTCTAACCAGGTAGTACTCTTGCTGCAGCTCAGAGCACATAAAAAAATAAAATGCTGCAGGCTTCTTGTACGCCTCAGTGAAATGCAATTGAAGTTGAGTGACAAGCGAAAAGAAGAGTATATAGCACTCCTCAGCAGCCCGCAGCTTCTTTGAAGCAATAAGCGCGACGGTATATTAGTATATATTGTTCTCTCTGAAGGAGTCGCGAGCGGGTGGCTCAGATCCACATGTGCATAATGATAATTCAGCAAAGTCGCGACACGTGCACTGTATTGCGTATGTCACGAAGCCCATAGCGAGAGATCCCTCGGCCGATATCACAGATCGTGAAGCAGTGCGCCAGGCACCACACAACACCAGGTGCAGCGAACGCTCATCCCAAACTTCCAAAGCACAGTTTGCCCACGTGACGGGCTTGAAGTGAAGGTCGGGGTGGGCGCGACAACTTGCATCACATGTTACACACGTGTGCACGGAAGATTACAGAGTCACAGCTTAAGTGGCCAACATTCAAAATTGAAAAAAAAAAAAAGAATATATATATATATAACTCTCCAAAGAACGCTACAAACTAGAACTGCTACCAAGGACGTACGCACAATACAGAATCCACTGGTTACTGACGCCAGACGGGCATGACAAGGCAAAAAATTATTCTGCAGTTGGGACAGTTACACACATTGGTCTTTCACTGCCCTTTCTAGCAAACACAGGCTAGCCACACCATTCAATTGCTGGCCTGCCATATTGTTTAAACTTTGTAAAGGAGCATGTGAAAGATGAAACTTTGTAAGTCTCATACCTGGGTAGGCGAGCAATAAGGCTACATGTATCCAAGCTTCAGACAAAGCAGCTACTATGGCGATTATTCAAGCACACCCATAGCGCTACAGTCAACTGGAAACGCAGTTAGATTTTGAGAACTGTTAAACTTAACAACTCCGAAAAGCCTGCATCTCCGAGTGTGTTATGCTGAACTTCTTGGAAAAAAAAAAAACGCAAATCCCAACAACAAACATTGATTGAACAATCGTCACCATTACCTTGCGTTCGCAATAATGCAGGGTCGTTGGCTGAACCTAACCTCATCTACAGCATCCTGCTGCTGCATCTACATTCCAATTTAAAAATTCACTTATCTAGGGCAGATATGCCCAATTGTAAACAAGTGGAAAAAGAACAAGTTAGCGTTACTAAAATGCACTTTGTTCTTGTTACTGCCAGTATACACAATATGAGCATGACTTTAGCTAGCACACTTAATTTGTGGCTCAAATCATCTTTAGCAACCACTTATTTAGCTGTTAGAGGTAGTGCTCTGGATTGATCACTTGCCAAACTTATTGTAATTTGCAATTTCTTGTTCACATTTTATGTGTACGCAACTGTGCATAACCACGTTTGGTAATCTTCAGAAGCTTAGCTCAAAGAAACACCAAATGATTACCACTAACAACCTGGCAACAATTCTCTCATTGAAGAAGACACTTGATCGCATTTTGAAGCAAGCAAAAAGGCATGCAAAGAAAAAGAAGCAGAAAGACGTATGCCAACAGCACTTTGACATGCAAGCAAATTTAAACAACGAAAAAGAAAACAAGTACTCTGTTAGGAGCCTTGATTCTGTGTTTGTTAGAATTCAAGATTGCATCAAAACTACTCATAATTGACAATACTGAAGGACAGCCAATCCTCTTGACAGCCAAAAGGACTGTAACAGGTAATGGACAAGGACACAGAAAAAGAACGCACATGCGAAGTTCAACTGCTAAATACACCTGCCGATGCACTCGCATGAGATGGCTTCTGGCAGAAACAATAGTCCATGTGCCATACCAAAATATAACTTAGAAAAATACAGTTCTTGATGTACCAGATAGGCACATACCACCTGTATACCACCTGTTGCTGTCCTGCACAACAAAAGTCCTGTGCCATCAAAAAGTGCAGACACACGTATATGGTAACAGAAAAAGCCATCTTTCAAAAACATGCCCAAAAAAAGGAAGAGGACCCAACACAAGCAACAACCACTCAGATGTGTGCAACTGCAAGGTAACAAATAACGGCAGGTGATACAAAAAAAGGCTCCTTCAATCACTGCGTTTTGCACAGCTTGTGCTGCTAAAGATGTGGAAAACAAAAAAACTGTAATGAAGTGCATTCCAATCAAATACCCTCCCAACCACACAGAGTTGCAGTTCTAGCACCCTCTTACTGGTTCAAATGTCCGGCCAATTAACAAAAATTAAGCTCGGGTGTAGACAGAGCCAAGTGCGCCGGTTAATGTGACGCAGGGAGGAGACAATAATGGGGCAAGGGCACGCAATATGCTTTCCAGCACTTTGTGCTCAGCAACATACCGGAATACAAGAGAAAACATAACAGAACAAGGAAAGATTTTTGCCAACTCTAGCCAGCAGCAGAAACAAGTGCCTGGGCAGGCATCAAGGTGGGAATGCTAGAAAAACGGAGCCTGGGCTTCTCATTCACGTGACAGTCACGACGCTTTTGGCTTCTTTTTTTTGAGTGGCTGGAAGATGGAAGATGCCTTCACCTTTTTCTTTTCCTTCAAACTGTCGTCGTCCGCCGTGGAGTTAGAGTCTGTTGAGTTTTCCTCATCTACGGCACTGCCAGAAAAGTTTCCCTTGAGTGCCGCCACAAGAATGTTGCCCGCTTTCTTGCGTCGCTCTACGGAAGACACTGACGCGAGCGGCGGCCGCGGAAGGAGCAGTGGCTCAGAAATGGTGACGAGGCTTGCATTCTCAGGTGTTGCTGGTGAAGATGGCTCAGTCTGCACCAGGAGCTCAGTGGATGTCAGAATCCGGCGAGGTGGTGCGTCGTCGGCACTCGCCGCCTTGTTGAGCAGTTGGGTGCTCCTGGGTCGAACAAGCTGTGGAGGTTCTGCTGGGCTGCCAAGGAGAAGAGAAGACGTGGCAGTTTGGTATGAAACACTGGTGTACTATAGCATGAGGAACAAACCTGGATGCCTAAGCACCACCAACAAAAAAAGAAGCACAAGAAAAAAGCAAGTTGTCATAGGTCCCCGAAAAAAGAGTTTCAGAAAGTTACGCACCACGCGACAAGTTCTTCTAAATGTACTGGAGCTTTGCGATAAGAAACCCTAACATAGGTACAAAAAATAGAAAACGGCGAGCCAGACTAACTTGACGGTGCTGTGGCTTTGAAAGATCAAACACTCTCATCTTTTATTAAGACCTTGACGAAATGTGACCCGTACATGGCAGTAGGCTATTTGGTGCTGCTTGAAGAACACAACATTTTCAATAGAACTATATATCTTGTTTTAACTAGTTTGACCATCCGAGTGTCTACTTTTACAACAATAAGAATCAAGTTTGCAATTTAACTGTAATTAGATTAAAATCACTTTTAAATTTGCAAGAGTTGGCTATTGAAAACTGGAAACTGCACATTGTCTGGAGTCCCCTGGTTAACATCACACAGCTGCATGCCTCTGCAGTTCAGACGAGCAGTTGACCAGTGTCATATTCTCGAAATAACCATGATTTCCAAGCTACCATGGAGAGAGAAATAGAGTGATTTTTTCCCCTCACAACAAGCTTTAAATTTCAGCTTTAAAATGCACCTCCCCTGAAATGCGGTTCTTGAGATAATCTGAAGTTCTGCAATATTTTTTTTGTACTTCTGATGTTCAAACCTGGATGAAATTTTTCTCACGTTTTTTTACCATGAAAAAGTGTCAATATTTAAATGTTGATATGTCTTCTACATTTACTATGAAATTCAATGAACTAATTACTGGGGTATGAACATCAAAGGGACACTAAAATGAAAGATTAAATTAACTTTGACTAAAAAATTATGCTCTGAAAACTCTAGCATCATTAATTTCACTACTATCAGTTTATTAATAGACGAGAAAATTCAATATCAATCATTCACTTGTAAATTGTTTGCAGCGATGTCTGGTGATGAGGTCACAAATTTCAACCAGCATTTTTTTTTTTGTGTGTGCGTGTCTTGGCCGCACTGGTTTAATAAATTTTCCTGCAACTCAGTAGGTGAAATCTCTGGCTTTGTTAACAGACAATGCACTTTATTTTTACCGATTAAGAACTATGTAGAGCTTAGTGGATGCCTTCAAAACCTATGATGCCACAGAAACTTCAAATGTGATTTTGTCACCCTGGTTTTCTTAAACACATTTCCTCGATTGCCAAGCACCTTCTCAAACGAGTGTGGCATTTATAATATCAAGAAATAGTAATTTACTAATACGAGAAAAATTGTTCTTCTCTTTAGCGTCCCTCCTGAGGTTTTATCTTTTGTGCTTATTAACAAACTTCACGTGTACTTTCTATAAACTTTCAGCACGATTCGGTTGATCGGGAAGAATACGTGCAATTAATGGTTCACAAGTATAGAAGCTTAGTTAGAGAAGTGAGGGAGGCCTACTTATTATAAATTGTCATGATACAGAACAAAAATTACACAACTCACTGTAAATCCGATTACATATTTGTGATCACCATAAAAAACTAGTTAAATAAATGATGTTTAACTGCTTTAGAGAGAATATAAAAAGGTGACAGAGTAGCATCTTCCTATAATTTGCCATATTCATCCACCATTGAAAATGGACTTTGTTTTGTGTGTTGCACAGCTCTTTGTTTTGCATACCCAAAGCCAGGGCATGCCATGTGCTGAATGTAAAAAACAATGCAAAAGATATGCCTTCAAGTATACACAAAACATCTAAGCACAGAACAAGGACTCTTTGATGGCTCAGCAATTGTCACACAGGTACTGCATGAAGCTGCTATCGCAGCGCCCCAACTGCATCTTCATTACAGTTGAACTGCTTTATAAAAGACACCAGGAAACAGTTTTTGTTCGTTAAATGAGGAGTATCTTATAAGCAGAGTATACCCCGTTTTCGTTTTTTGGCCAACCCTGCATTCAATCTCTTATGCCAAACTGCCCACTACATCAGTGCCTCTTACGAAGAAGTTCAACTGTATTCTGAGCTGCATGTTCAACAAAATAACAGCTTAGGTTCTTTAGATTCAATCTTATGCAACTGTTCATTCTTTTACATTTTTTTACAAGCACCTTTCTCGGCACATTTAAGAGTGATTTCAGTCCCACTCCCAGGAGTTTCCTTGCAAATTATTAGCTGCAGGAAATAAATGTTCCATAATAATTCTGCCCCAATTTGATTGGTCATCAGCATGTTTCAGTAGTACTGCTTCCTGAGCAAAGGTGCAAGCATAAAACCCTGAAGGACACCCAGGCAGTACTTTGGTCGGAAATTTGATGTTTTGCTTACAGAAAGGCAGTCCTTGTTAGACAAGGTCACGTATGTTTCTCACCTAAACATGACTTGCAATGTAGCAGTGTATTAGACCAGATCAATTCGTGAGACGCATGCAACTCCATTTTGAATCAACCAATCAAGAACAGTATTCTGGTTAGGCTTACTTGATGTTGACGACGTACCAGCAACGAAAGATCCAGATTACAAGAAAAATGCACGCAACTGTGGAGTTACCTTACAAGCACCATTGCTAACCTGCTGTCCCCGACCGTGAAAGACACAGCAGTGGTAGCAGAGGTTCCCGTTGACAGGCTGGTGGGCAGAGAAGAGTCCGTGAACTCTTCTGCATCATCGTCGGTCTCATCAAGAAGGGCCAGCTTCTGGGAAGAGGCCCCATTGGACTTGATTGCACCTATTGGCAGTGTGGTGGGCCGTTCGGGGCACCTCAAGCTCAGCAACGACGCTACACTTGACACTGAGCCTGCAAAGATAACAGCAGGGCTCAAGTGTTTCAACATGCTCCGTTTGCTTTGGTTGCCATGGCAATATTGCTCGATGCAAAGTTGTGAGCTTGACACACTGTGAAGTATGTGTCGGCAATGATAATTTTTCTGCATGGCTGCTAACTTTCTATGAAAGCTAGATGTAATCATTCACATACTTCCAACAATAGAACGTGAAAGTACGAGTAAGCAAGCAAATGAATTATGCTTCCAGAAGCGGTGGAAATTAAGCACGTGTGACACAAGCCAACCAAACCACTGCCACAAAGTGATTTTTCACACTTTCCGACTAAAGACATTCTCACATCTTGGTTTAATTTTCCTAGACAAGCACTGCATAATGACAACTTATGTCCTTCAAAAATGATGGTGATGTAAGTTCCACATGAGTGTAACAAATGCAACGTCTCTTCCTTTCCCTTGTCACCTGTTCTAACGTGCCATCAGTTACAACAGAATAGCTGCTTGACAACAGTACTAAACCAGTCATTATAGTTGTACAGCATTCATAAAACTAAGTGGCTAATGCACCTTCCAGTGACCTCTTTCAGGTATAACCTATTAAGAGCCGTCTCTAAGTGCATGAAATTTACATTATTCAATGCACTGAATATTTGGCTACAACATAATTTCATATTTTGATTTGTGTTTTATAGTAATTAATCTCAATTGTGACTAAACTCTACTTGTACAGAAGTAATTCATGTTATGTTTTTATATTGATAAAATCAGATCTTGGCCTAGAAATATAGTGCAATTTTGTTGCTGGTTATATCGATGTTGAGCAAAGGAAAATCTTTTTCATGTGACTCGCGGAGAACAACATGCCCAATGACTCGAAGATAGTACAGTTGAATCCCTTTTAAGAGACATGCACCATAGACCAATTCTTGTCTTTTATATCAGCAGGGATGCAACAGCCAAAATAAAATTAAGAGCAATTTTCGGAGCAGAAAAATGTTGCTATTGGAGCACTAAGATGCAAACTTGAAGCAGTATAAAAAGAAGGCCATGAAGAAATATGAGCACTGCTATTTCAATAAATATAGCACTTAGAATACCCCACTCAGTAAACAATGATAAAGTCCACATTGGCCTTTGCCCCACCTGTCAAATCCTTTGACAGACTCTGAGGATTCAAAAGTGGATCTGCGAAGCTAGCGACCTTGAGATTCAGGCAATTCTTAAAGCAGAGGAGTGGAAGTGGAAAAAAAATAAATGGCGCACAGTCTTGTTTGATTTGGCTGCAGAAATATCACACCGTGCTTCAGATGATTGCAAGTAACATTTTTAGACCTCAGCGATGATATTAGTACTCACAATTGTGTGGCATATACACGCATAAGCATACATATCGCAATTGAACAACCTGTGCTGTGTCCCGTGACCAGTGCTAACAGCCCCTTCTAAATTTTAAAACGCTTTTCTGCAGGCCACCAGTGTACTGCAGCGAAGGTAGCTTACGAGGCGTTCTGCACAAGTTAGAACAAGGCTGAGAAATTTTCAAACTCCTACACCACCATCCCACACCCCTCCATCTTTGTTTTTTTTTTCCTCAGGATAAAGTTGGGTTTAGGGCACAACTTCTCGGCTTGCTTGCAAGGCGCGTTTGCCTGGATAAATAAACGATGGCACCTGCCCATTGGCCCAGAGGCGGTACCGGATATCATCACACGTGCCGTTGCTATGGCAACTAAAGTGTTCGCTGGCAACGCCGATGTTCACAGCACATTGAGTTAGTCCATGCGCAGTAACAATGGCATATGCTTCCAGCTTCAGTTCTCAACATGCCATATATGTGTTTGCTGACTAGGAAATTCATATTTCCAGTGATGTGTTGCTGGCTACAGCAATGCATTATTGTCTTGAAGTTGAGTCGTCCCGCCGATAAATATCCGCTACAATCAGTGGACCGATGGACACGCGGCATTGTAATTTATCACGTTAATCGCGTTGTGCCGTGGCCTAATGAGTACATATCTCACTTTGTGGTTTAAGGTTAAGGTCTGCGTGCCTGGATCCCCAGATTGATTAATTACACAAACTACAGGTGGCCAATGTGGCCTCCGTTTTTAGCTGAAATTCACGGAACCGAGAAATTTTTGAAGCTGGTCGGGCATTTTTGCACAGCGTGATGCAATTTCAGCAAATTTCATGGTTTTGGCGCAACTTGGAGCAAAAATGAGGAATTGCATCAAATAGGCACAGCTGTTGCACCCCTGTATGAGGAATCTCTTATAGGCAGTGTACCTCGTATGCATTTCCTTATCAAATCAAATTTTACTGTAAGCACATTGGTGTCCCTTTTACCCAATTATCTGTTACATCAGTGTCTCTTGTAAAAGGGGATTTTAACTGTAGTGCCTTCTTAAAATGATCATATGCAGCAGTACATTGCAGAAATAATTGACATTCGTCCTAACATCATTTACTTATTTTGCTCGTTCTTAGCTATTACTTGGCACAACTAGCACAAACATGCCGAATACAAAGCCTCTCAGAGAGTTAAGATAACCTGACATTTGCAGAGCCTCATGTGACAGGACACTCACCATTGAGGCAGGCCACAGAAGCGGGCACAGTGGTGTTAGCAGCAGTGGAGACAGTGGCGGCAGCGGCAGCAGCAGACTGAGGGAGGTTAGTGCTGTCAAGTGGCACGACACGGAAAGGAGGGAAGCCCGCAGCTGCGGCTAGGGCGCACTTGCTGAGGTCGCAAGCCGGTGGCACAGAGGCGAGAAACAGAGCAGTTGAATTGTGCACGAGTTGCTGCACTATTTGGGAGGCGAAAATTGAAGAGGAAGGTGAAGGTGGAGGAAGCAAGTAGGTGGAAGAAGGAAAGAAGCAATGAGAGCAGTGGCCACAGCACAATCATGGGCAAGGAAAACAGAATACACGAGTTTAGCAGAGCAGGACGGGTTAGTTGGTAGAACATACGAACTTGCTCAAAGTTTGTTAGTAGTATACTGACATAATGTTTTACCATCCATAACTTTATATTAAAGGGGTCACGAACCAGTTTGCCAAGTAATCCTCAAACAAACCAAATATTGGATTATGTTGCCTCACAAATCGATTGTTGCAAAGAAGTTTTATAGACCATGAAAAATGAGCATTGTTACGGGGGGTTTGTCGTATGCTGCCAACCCCCCTCTGTCTCTTCTCTTGTTCCGACAAGTGCGCTGGTAGCTACACTGGGAGGGACAGTACAGGGCAAAGACGTTTCATCAGCGCGTCACGATACGCAATCATTCTCTTGCAGTGAATCCTGTGAACGAGTAGCTCACTGGAAAATTCACCAGAGTAAGGAGCCCAGTGCTCCATGGCAGGATGCGCATGTGACCTAAATCTTGATAACTAACGATTTCTTAAATATACATGTTCTTTTCTTCCTGTGATCCAAATGCTGCTTTTGATTTATGTTAACTCTTGGCCAATAGCATGCTACCCACTGGCCAACGTCACACGGTGGGCACAGGCAGCATTAAGGCAAGTAAAGACAGGCCTTTACATGAATAGAGGGCGCTTGAGTGGATGGCAACTTTGCCCTCTGCAATAAATTCCTTTTGCCACGCATGATTGCAATATGTGACTGAGTTTTCCGTAAAAGAGCTTGCTTTATGCAGGACATGTTTTCTAACGAAGCCCAAAGACTGGTTCGTGACTAGAGCTTTGCGAATAGCAAAATTTTGGGTGTGAAACTAACTTGAATAATAATGTACAGTACTATACTCCTATTAAATAAAACTCTCTTAAATGAAATTTCTGCTTAAATGGAACAACTGCCACTAATACGTTTGCTTTCCTAGATGAATATTATACCCCCGTTTATCTCTCAGCAAATGAAACTGCTCTTAAAGGAAACACATTTTCCTCGTCCCTTCAGGTTTCCTTCAAAAGGAGTCTACTGTATGAGCGTGAATCGAATCTGCTGTGCATGTTTAACTATATTGTTTTCTTTTTAATTTATTATTTTGCAACTGCTTCTTTTGTATTTTTTCAAATTTAATACATCTTTGTACAAATATTTTCTGTATTGACCCCCCCCCCCTTCTACCCTCACTCAATGACCCCCCGTGAGTGTGTGAGGTACATGGAAATAATTTTAAAAATAATAAATAATGATTTCTTCAATATTTTTTAGCACTGCAAAGTAAAAGTACAGAAAGAAGTTGCACAAGATCCCTAAGCATAATTATAAACTATATCCTGAAGAAGCACAGCTCTGCAATGTCACAACCGGGCACCACCTCTTTGGAAAGAGCTTTTTCCATCTTCCAATTCCCGCTTCAGGTAGGTCCACCATTCAGAAACAAGAGTACAAAATCAGACTTTTAAAGTTTCTTTCAAGGCCTCCCATTGGCTGCAGCCCCCATGTTGCTCAGCACACCTTGCAATTGCTGCAATGCTTGCTCCTGGCGAGCATTGTCAGCTGCTTGCGCGTCGGGAGGTCATGGCTGTCGAAAGTTGTGCTACGTCATGATGCATTCGCACTTGTTCTGTGTTCACGGGTCAACGGTAAGACTAGTAATTACGTTTTAGTTTGACAGTTGCATTACAACAATACACTGCACTTTGTGGGAATTGAGGTTGGCCCGCTGCCTTTAAGCGGGCTTTCCCGCCTTTTCTGCCGTTCTCATGTCCCGACATGTCTGCCCTCCCTTGCTGTCTGCCGCGCTGAGAGAGCGGAGTGACGTTTAACTCCCTCACCCGGTAGCGGATGTTGACGGTGGCGCCGCGCGCGAGGACTCCCAAGAGAGGTTTTCGCGCGCTGCGTCGGGAGCGGTGAGATACTCTCCGGGACAGCAAACGGTGAGCCACGCTATCTTTTCGTCCGTCGACTCCCGTCAGTCGGGGGCTCGTCGGACTTCGCTGACGGCGCCTCGCGCCCAAGGCGAACGCTCACCCGCTGTTTGCCCCGCTGCGTACGCACGGCCGAAGGGCGGTACGGTGTCCTAGTGCGTGGCCTCGCTACGCCGACCCGTCTCCCTTCGAAGCCAACGCGAGCGCCTTTGCCCTCGCTCGAGCAACCGGGCCTTTGCTCCGGTGTCTCCGTGGATCAGCTTTACCGCGGAGACGTGCTCGTGGCACCCCTGTGTAGTACTTTGTGCCCGTGGCGTGGATAAGCCTACTTGCTTTCCCGCCGCGCCTATTTGCAACGGGCTGTACTGCGTTTGGTGTTGCCACAATAAAGTGTTGCGACTTGAGCAGTATCGTGTTTCCCGCCACGGCGACGGTTAACGCGTGCCCTGCGGCTCGCTAAGACCGGACCCACGCTGGTGGCCGTACTCCTTCGGGATACGTGTACACCACACTGGCGCCCAACGCGGTATCAAAAGCTCTAGCTTTTGATTGCTCTTAGCGAGTCCGTTCGCCTGCGCGATTCGGGCTCGTCGCAACATGGCTGCTTCGCGGGACTTTTGTCCGCTGTCCCTTTTAGCGGATGCCGCGTTGCACACGGAGGCCATTGCCTCTATGAACGGGAACCCTTCTGCACCCGTCCGTGTCGGCACCCCCTATTGCGGTGACGACACGAGGCGCCTAGCCGCTCCCTTTGGAGATGGCGCGTCGCTTCGGAATGGGCCTCTTGCCCTACCCGAACGTTACGCACAAGCGCCTCCGACTGCTAATGCGCCCTTTGGTATGCATGGCAGTTCGTCGGCACAGCGCTCGCAGTCGGTTCCCTGCGGAATTGACGGGGCCCTCGCCGACTTTTGCCCGCTATCAGCCGTGCAACCGACACTTCGACCGCACGCTGAGCAGGCGCCTGAATTGTCGATGGTAGCCGCACCAAGTGCGCCTTTGGTTCGACAACAGGCAAATCCCACAAGGAGGCTATTTTGCTCTGGGAATGGCGCGCAGGGCGGTGGTCTGTTTGAAACCGCCCCACTGATCGAGCTGGGCGACTGCTCGCCTTCGCTCGACCGCGCCGCTAACGCACCAACGGTTTCCTACGAAGCCGGTGCGACGACGCAGACTTTGCTGCAAAACGCCGTGCAGATGATCCAAGCACTCTCGGGAGCTGTGCAAACGCTTTCGGCTGTTCCGAAAAGCGGTCACCCCGCTGTTATGTTGCCTGTGCCAACCTACAGCGGATACGGTGATCGGCTCACCGCCCGAGATTACCTCGACTCTCTGTCACGTTATCAGAGAGCGATGGGTTTGGATGATAAGGTGGTGCTCGAACGTGTTGTTCCAGCTGCACTGACTGACACGGCGGCGAGATGGTATCGGCTTTCCCGTTACCGTGCAGCAAACCTCGAGGAATTTCGTGCGGTCTTTTTGCGCGAATTCCTACCCGCTGACTACGAAAGTAGGATGCGGCGAGAGCTCGAGCTCCGTACACAAGCTCCTGACGAGTCTTTACAGGAGTATGTACGGGCGATGGATGAACTTATTTCTATCGCTGAGCCCCGAGCCTCGAACGAGGAACGCGTCGAACGGGTGATACGGCAGGCACATCCGACTTTTCGGCTTACCTGCGCGGCGGCCGCTTCAGTGATTTGGAAGCGTTGGCCGCCGAGGCGAAGCGCATCCAAGGCGACATTCTCGCCGCGCGCGCCTATCGCCCGCCGCCGCCAGCCAGCGACGCCCTTGAGCCGCGCTGCGCTTGGAGAGGGGCCATGACCCTTCCCCAACGGCAACAGCCTCTCGGCGCCGCCTTTGCGGCTGCAACCGGCTGTGCGTGGGAGTTGAGCGATCGCGCTCTTGACCCCTTTACGCATGAAAGGCGGGCAGCCTGCGCTGCTCCGCCTGAAACCTCCACACAGGGACGCTTTTCGACCCAACGTAATGTTGGAGGTGCGGCTCGCAGAAACGTATCCTACGATAACGTAGCGAGCCGATCACGACAGCTCGAAGCTGCTCCGTCTGGGAATACAGACCGTGATGGAGTGCGCTGTTACCGCTGCCGTGAAAGAGGGCACATAGCGAGGGAATGCACCGGATCCAGGCCTCCTGCGAGGCAGGGAAACGGGCTTCCGGGTCGTTCGTGAATGCACGACCGACCCAACCTTTGCTTCTTCCCTCTGCGTGCAGGGCAAGCACTTTTCTTGCTGATACGCACGCGCCGTTCATTCCGGTCACCATTGCCGGCCGTGAATTTTCGGCTTTGCTGGACACGGGTGCTAGCGCCTCGTTGTTTGGCGAACAGGTGTTGTCCCACTTGCGGAAGCACTCGGTGCGCTTGCGGGACAGCCGAACGACATTCACCCTTGCGAAAGGCGTGGCCCATTCGGCAGGCGCTGCAAGGTTGACTGTCCGATGGGGAGATCGAATGAGACGCTGCCGTCTTATTCATCTTCCAGGGCTCAATGTTCCAGTGATTCTCGGTCGGGACTTTCTCCTTAAAACCGGTATCGTTGTGGACATTGCGAATGGCGGCTATCGTGATGGCCCATTTTGCCAACTCAAGCCGTTCATCAGCCCGCCGGCGCTTACCGTCGCCTTTGCGGCAGAAGCGTCGGAAACGTGCCTTGCGCAGAGTTCGGGGCCAAGCCCCCACTCACCGCATTTTCCCTCTCACAGTCCCCTTCGGGAACGAGAGGCGCGGCACGAACCGTGTCGTGCGCCAACTCCGGGGTCGTACCCTGGCGTTCCGCGCTCGTCGGCTCGAAACCCCTGCTTGGATCGACCGGCACGACACGAAGAGGCACTACATCCTTTGGTCGCCTGCGCGACTCAGTTGGATGAAGCACAGAAGGCTCGCCTGTCGACACTGTTACGTCAGTACGACGAGCTCTTCACCGATCAACCTGGCTGCACCGATTTTGTG